GTAAAAATTTAAACAGGTAATTAAATCAAGTTCAAGTTTAATAAACCAAAAAATAAGAGCTATGTGAAAACTATTTTTTTAGTGATAGTGTTTTTTTAATGTTTTTTAAGAGTGGTTTTACAAGATTTAAAAATAAAAAAGAAACGAATCCATGTGGCATAATAATGTGGCATGTAACATTTTAAGGATGCTCCCTAAAATCTGTAATTATTGTTTCTTTTGTGAAAAATCTTGAGTTCCCTCAGTTTGAATCTAAAAATATTTATATAATTCATATCTATAAAAATACCTTGAAACCTTGAAATAAAAAAGAAAATGAAAGAATATCCCCCTGAGAAGTAAACAAAAAACATTTCATAAAATCGACATCAGTTCAGCGACACTTCCCAGTGAAATTTTGATTTTTTTTTTATTGCACCTGCCAAGGAATCCGACTGCCTCTCTCACCCTGGCCCCTTTCTCCCGCCACATCAGCCCCCCCTCTTCTCTGTCGTTTAAATAATCGAATTAACCCCGAATCTCTCTCTTTTTTGAACTGAAATGTTAAAGATACCCGATCCGCATACTAACAAGGGGAAGACACCTCTAAGGTGGACTGGGAGGAAGTGGGGGGGCCAAAGAGTGTCCAATGTGCAGTTAATAGAACCCGCTATCTCAGTGGCGGTGCTTGGGAGAGGTAAGAGGGGGCAGGGGGGGTTTTATGTGCCCCATGCCACAACATTTGTGCATTTCAATTAGCCACTTCACTTCGCTGACTAACTGATTAAACAGAAAATGCGACAAAAAAAAAAAAAACAAAAGACTTCAACCGAAAAATGAGTTTGTGACTCAAAATCAAACTCGAAAGAGACGCGGCCAGAAAATTATTATTTATTACATTATGTGAATGTATATTGGAGGTATATATAGACAAACCCCGTAATTTAATGAGCCTCATGCCCATGATGGGTTCTGCCGTTTTTGGGAAAGAAAGCAAAAGTTTAATTGTTGCGCAAGACGGCTTCAATTTCGTTTTCATTATAACTTTCTACAAAAATTGAAAAGGGTGGGGTTAAGGTTATTCATAAGGTCTTCAATAAACAAATTTGATTTAATTTTTTGAAAGAGAATGAAAAAGATTAGGAAAATCAACAGGAAATAACTGATACTCATAGAGGTATGGCTTATCTATAACCTCTTAGGGGAAATTAAATCATAATTATATATAAGCTAAAAAGCCCTAAGAAGTATTATATATTTAATCAAAAAGTGCATACTTTTATGAGTGTTTTACAGGATCCTAAACAAAACTATATCAGAAGCCTTTAATATTTAGATTTTGATGAATAAAAACGGAAGAGGTCTCTGGGAAGTTCATAAAAGTAATTGTATTGGTTTCTCTCTCAGACTAAAGTATACTTTGAGGCGCAGAAAATTATATCCTTTTACGTTTCCTTTTTTCGAATATAGCCCCCATTTTGAAGCACCTTTTTTAGTTACAGTGCATTAATTACCCATCAGCTGATCTCAATCCTACTGCCCTTCTTTAAAGACAACTTGAGACGACCTTCAGTCTGGCAGTTAAACAGCTTTCGATTAACACTTTTTTGAAAAGGCCAAATGTCAAGACAGGATTCCAGTTGCCTGATCTTTTCTCACGCCTGTCAAACTGAGATCTGATATAAATTTTCGTTTCGGCCAACAGAAAACAAAAGAAATTCCACCTCAAAACGGAAATTGCAACGGCAATGCCTCAAAAACTGGATATTCTTTGGTTCTAAGCCATTTAATTAATTGGGCCATTTGTGTGTCGTTTGATTCATTTGCGGTTGTGGTTTTTTTGGGGACTACAATTGACACAATGACACATTTTTCTTGCCTTGAATGCGAATATATGTATATAGCGTACATATAGCATTGATTCCGATCGATCGGACAGAAATCAACAATCAATCGGTGGAGCACTCTCCTGATTATAAAATTTACGCATGTTTGGTGTTCGATGTTTTGCTTTTTTTCCGATCTTTTTTTTTGGCTACGTGATTGAAATCCGTTAAGAGTTTTTGGCCAATTCGTAAGCCCCATAGGAGATATATACGTTTAGAAATAAAATAAACCTTGATCTAGCCATGAACTTGTGCAGAGAGAGAAATAAATCAAACTTTAAATAGAGTTTGTCGAGAAACTGATATTCTTTTACTTAATTTATGTTTAGTTTATTATAAAATGGTCTTAATGCTTTTTGGCCTTTATCGGTTAGCCATTAGCCAGAACAAGAAATGCGTTGTAAACAAATTCGTGTTTTTATTTTCTTAGATTTATTTCTTTGTTCTGAATCCAAAATTTCTAACCGCTCCCCCAACCAATTAGTGTGTGTTTTTTTTAGAATTTTTGGAAAGCAATTAAGACGCAAAAAAGGAGGAAAAAAATGTTTAAGACGATTTACATTCAACAGTTCCAATTTGCAAATCAGTTTGAATAAAATTTTTGTGATGATCGGTCGGTGGGTCTTAAGAAACTGGAGGGAATACTGGAGGGATTTTGATCAATTTGTCATGCCGCCTTACAGTATCGTGACTTGTGCAAAAATATTGACGATTATTCGTTTATTATTGGCATATTGATATCATCAATATTGATTTATTCATGTCGTCGACTCTTTTGTTTATTTTTTTAGTGAAAAAATATATATTTATTAGTCACTTATTGAGGAGGTTTTTGGCACGCGGAAGAAATAATTAAAATTTTGCGAGCTTAAACTATTAATTGTGTTTTTATTTAAGGGAAGCTATATAAGTATGAGGAGCTCAAGGCACAGGAAATATTTAAGATATATTTTCGTGGTTTTTATAATTTGTATAGATTTATATTTTTTCTAAATATTAATCAAATTTTGTTGCAACGTTTTATCTTGTGTTGTATTTGTTATATTGAATATATAATGACTCTTAAATTTTATTATAACCATTATTTAAACTTAATATCCTTTCCATTTTTTAATAACCTAATTTTATGCCTTTTTAATCACTGTTGACATATAATTTAAAATTTAAGGCCGCCACTTATCAGATGTTTTTAATGGTTTTTTCGAGACCCGGCTAGTCCCTTTTCACGGGCCTGACTTTTGACACTTTTTGGCCAAGACTGACAACTTTATTGGCCAAGTTATTTTGGGCAGAGTCACGCCCCTTGAACAAGACAGGAATTGCATAAGGCGAATCACGAATTTTTTCAGCTCGAAAATTACGCAATCCACGCAATGTAAATAAAATCACCTTTGGTGGGCTCCTTTTTTTTTTTGTTTAGGGCTGTAAGCAATTTGGTTAATTTACAACTTAATTTCTGCCATGGTTTTCAATTTAAAGTCACCGAACATTTCAATTTAAGCCATCGGCGCTGTTGGCCAGACAATTATGATAAACGCTGTTTATTTTTTTGCTTTTTTGGTTGAAGGACGTGTTTTTTTGTTTTTTTTTTTTTTGTGAGGGGTCTTAGCCATCCTGGTCGGTGTGTGTTGCATGCAACACGCTCATTTAACGCCCGAGTAGTTCATTTTCCACCTGGCAGCTTATTGATTTTCGCAGCCCAATTAAAAATCGAGCATCTCATGCCTAATTACCTCGAATCCTTGAGCCAAAAAAAAACATCCTCTAATTAAGGCTCTAATTAATAATCAATCAAGTGCAACCGGCAAGTGCCACAGAGTTTTTACGACTGGAAAACCCATAAAGTACAAACCAAACTGTCATAAATTTATGATTAATAAAATCTCAATTACTCTCGTTTCCTTATGCCCTCGGACAAAAAATTATAAAAATATAACTTTATGGCCAAAACAAAGCGCCAAAAAAAGTCAATGGCCAAAACGGCTAAAAAACAAAATGTAAATATTTACTAAAATGTTTTTGTTTTTTGCATTTTTGAATGAATCAATTTTTGTTTATAGGGTTTTTAGCCAGATGAGGGCGGCTAGAAAATGGAAATATTTAAAATGCACTGAAGAAAATTAATATAAGTAGAATTGAATAGAATTTTAAATACTTGGTGAAAGTTGGTTTTTAAAAATTAAATAAATAAAATGGCGAGAAAGAAAAGACTTCTATTTTCAATATTATATTATTAGTATATGTCCCCCTTTTTTCTTGCAGTGTTTATTTGGCTTTTTAATGAGAATCGAACTTCCAGCATCTGCATATATATTTTTAGCCCAGAAATCTGTTTAATTTTTTTGTTTTTGATTTTGTTGGGGGCCGGTCCAGACCCGGGTTCAATTGCCCGCCGTAAACCCGTTTTTCGTTCCGTAGCCCTGCTCTCCCCCTCCCTGGATTGTGCGTAAACTAGATGATGCCATTAAAAGTAATGTTTAAAATTGAAAACTCTTGAAAAAAAAAATGCAACAAAAATTACAGTTTTTTACTTTTAACGCCTTGACAGGCCAACAAACATGTTTAACATAAAAGATAAGCTACAAAAAGGAACGAATTCATAAAAAAAAATAAGTTAATATTGTGTATAAGTGTGTGCGAGTGTGCGTGTGGGCCTGAATTTATTTATAAAGGGCTCTTGGCCATAAAGTCGAAAAGCAGATCAGGTGGACGTCCTTGCAATCTGCGGTTAATGCAGCCAGTACGAGGTACACTAGTTTAAAAGGCTTGGGAAAATGGATAAAAATATATATACTAAAATATGGAAAATATGCAAGAAATATTTGGAATATTATAAATAAAATATACTATAAACAAAATATATATATACAAAATATATATACATATTTTAAAGCATAATAATAAACACAAAGTCATTAGTTTTATAAATTATATTACGATTCCTGGTTAAGTATATAAAAATATTAATAATATTAGGACCACTGTCTTGAAAGCCAAAAACTTGTTTTCGGCCCAAACGACGGGCCAAGAGGCCTCAAGTTAAGGCCCTCCGTCGAATGCCACAGGCCTCCATTTGCACCATTTATCATGTCTCGTGTCCGATTCCTTTCTAGGCAACCTTTTGAGGAGTCATCGTGGGGATGTGGATGCCCAGTACCATAACCAGAATGATGCTAGTGAGTATCCTTAAATCAAAGACACTATCTTACCACCTATAACCAAAAAAAACCCAAACAGTTAGCCGTCCTTGCAGCCTTCTTGGCAACTGAGGTCCAAGGACATGGCCGTTTGATGGATCCTCCGGCCAGGAACGCCATGTGGCGCTTTGGCTACCCTAATCCCGTCAACTACAACGACAACGAGCTCTTCTGCGGCGGCTATGCCATCCAGTGGGAGAAGAACAGCGGCAGGTGCGGAGTCTGTGGAGATGCGTACCACGTCAAGTCCCCCAGGCCCCATGAGGCTGGCGGGGAATATGCCAAGGGAATCATCTCCAGGTACTACACCGCCGGCCAGGAGATCGATGTGGAGGTGGAGCTGACCGCCAACCACTACGGACGCTTCGAGATCTTACTCTGCCCGAACAACAATCCCCGCCAGGAGGCCACCCAGGAGTGCTTCGATCGGTATCCGCTTCTCATCTCGGGCAGTCGGGAGCACCGCTACCTCATTCCCCGCGACGCCAAGAAGAAGGACATCTTCCGCTACCGAGTCCGCCTGCCTCCCTACGTGACCTGCACCCAGTGCGTCCTCCAGTGGACCTACTACACGGCCAATATGTGGGGCACCTGCGCGAATGGAACCGAGGCGGTGGGATGCGGCAAGGCTGGTGAGTTACAGGGCTACATAAAATCAATTATAGGTCTAAAATCTAAAGGGGGCTTTGGAAATGTTGCTCAATGTTGGCCAAAAGTTCCTTTTTGGCCATGACGACCTCAACTTGGTTGATTCCCATTTTTTTCATCAGACCAAAGGGCATAACTTGGCTTATATTCCTCTGATCAACGAATGCTATACCTTCCCGAACTTGTATCATTGAGTTTAGTAACAGAAGCTGGCAAAGAAATTTTTCAACCATTTTTAATTTTTCCAAGGGGTACCCTCATAATTTTTACCAAAAACTGACCCAAAATTTTTTTCGTTTAATATTTTTAATCTTTTAATGCAGATCGAAGGCAAATAAAACTCTGATTCACAAATGGTATTTCGTTTTTGAATCGGCAGCGAAATAGTAAAAATATTCACTAAACAGTCCATAAAAAATTTCGATTTTTCAAACTTAAAAAATTACCTAAAATGATTTAAAAATTTTTTGATTGTTGTGATGGTTAAATGAGCATAACTCGGCTAATACTTGGAAGATCCTTAAGTGGTATACCTTCTCGATCTTAGAACTCCTACCAGCATTATTTTTAATCAAAACATGTGTAAATACTTTTTGACCCATTTTTTCAAATTTTTTCAAGGGGTACCCTCATGATTTTGACCAAAAATTTGGATACATTTTTTTTGTTTTATATTTCCAATCTTTTGATGCGAATCGAAGGCGAATCGAATTCTGATTCACAAATGGTATTCCGTTTTGAAATCGGTTTTGAAATGGCTAAAATATTTTCTAAAAAGTATATACAAAATTTTTATTTTTGATAAATAAAAAAACCCTATTTTTCATTTTCCAGTCTTTGAATTTTTTTGATAGAAAAATGTGTATAACTCCGCTAATACTTGGAAGATCCTTAAGTGGTATTCCTTCTCTATCTTAGAACTCTTAGGAGTGTTATGTTTAATAAAAACATTTACCGTTCACTCTTAAGAAAAATTTATTTCTTTTTTTTCAGAAACTTTCCGTAACTGTGCGGATATAGCCATTATATCCAATACAGGCGGTGGAGTTCCCCCGATCTTTGTGAACAACAAGTCACCATATCTGCTATACTACAGGGACTACAGGGCACCATCGGATAACAATATATTCCCACTTATTGTGCGGTAAGTGTTGAAACTTTGCTATCTATATCTTTAAGATTTAGGATCTGTATCTCTTTAGTTTTTTCAATTCTCTGACAAACTGTCGCTCTACAAGCTTCTCAAGACTTTTATCCTTCTTCTCGATCTTTCATTTTCATCTTTCGACTTTCATTTTGAAAGTCTCTACCTTCTTAATCGGTTAAGTTTGAAAATTTTGAAAAAAGAACGCTTTCTAACTCTTGCTTTGGTTTCTAGCAATGCCACGCGGCATGCGCGCCAACGAGGCAAGGTTTAACCGCTTACCCGCTTAACCGCTTACCCGCTACACGTTCGAAAAAGCTTTGAAATCGTTTTTCAGGTTGCACAATATATATAGACACACTCATTCCATTGGAGTCCAGACTGGAAAATCGTACTAATTGGATATTGTTTTGAAAAAAAACAAAACGGGTAAACTTAGTTTAAGTTTTTGGTTTTTGGGATAAAAACACAAACACACACACTGCTGTATATAAAATAAATGCTTAAATAAACTTTTAAAATTGAATATTGCTCTTTCAGTTTAGCTTAACCGATTCGCTAGAACCGATTCGCTTGGTGTTGGAAAATCAATGGAGAAAAAATGGAAAACAGTTCAAAATATCATATTGCACATGAAATTTTATTAACATTGATCGACTTGGCATCCCTTTCCCCTAATCCTTTTCTTCGTCTCTTGCTCTTTCTTTCTTTCTCCGTTCGTCCTTTACCTTCAGCTATCTGTCCCCTTTCCTCTTTCGTTCTACAAGCCATCGATATTAAGTTAACGAGAAATTCAGAAATTTAAGGTTAAGAACTTGATATAACCGATTCGGATTCGGGTCTCGAGAGCCCCGAATCGGGTAGGGTTTGCTCCAATATTTAGGTTTCGGCGATCTTTCCAAAATGCTATTTTTTGCAGCTTTTTTTCGAGGGGGTTTTGGGGCACAAGCTCTCCGATGAACTTCGCGTTTTTTTAGGTTATGAAATGTAATTTGTTGAATCTGATTTGGGTCTGGAAAATGAACTTAGCAACTTATATCCGGATAGGTGAAGGCCATGATCAGGATAAGGAAGACAGTCACCTGGACCATGCCCACCAGAACGGTCTTGAGCAGTGGCATCCGCACCTTGGGCTCTACATTGCGACCGTTGGCGATGGGCGATTCCGGTGCCACCTGCCTTCCTGTGGGCCTCACCATCGATCCGGAACTCTTCTTCTTCAGCTTCATATTATTATTATCCTTATTATCGTTGTTTTTGTTGTTATTGTTGTTACTGGGCTCCGGTTGAGTGTCTTTATATTTTGGGCGGCGTTTGGTTGTGATCGGTTCCGGGTCAGATTCCGGTTGCAGTTTCGTTGCCGGTTCCTGTATGGCTCTCTTCAAAAGCTTCAAGCGGTTCTTCTGCATGTCCTCTTCCGTTTCCGGTTCCTTTTTAGCTGCTGTATCCGCATCGGTGTCCGTCTTGGCGTCCTGATCGGTTTGGGTTGTGCTGTGGACGACCAAACTGCTGCTTATCTTCCTCAAGAGGGAATCCTGAGCCTCCAGAGGGAATCTACCTTTATTGGCAACTTCCGTTACCACCGAGAGACGCGAACAGGCCATGGCACCGCCTCCGTAGTTGATGCCACCACCCCCCGCCTCTCGCTCCAGTTTCAGGGAGCTGCCCCGCATCCCCGCCTCCGCCTTGGGATCGACGTAGGCCAGGCTATTGAAGAACATCTGATCCTGGTCGATGAGGTTGAAGGTGGGTGGCGGCTTCTGGGCCGGACCATGGCTCAGGGGTCGCAGCTGCTGTAGCAGGAAATTTGGATTCTCGCGCAGCATCCGGAAGTTGGTGCACTGCAACGGTCCGCCACTGGCTTCTTCGACGGCGAGGGCCGAAGCCACTGGCTTAGCTACCGGATGGCTCCGATCCCGGAGCGAGGGCAGGTAGAAGCACTGCGAATCGTCGGCGGTCTTTAGCTCGTTGAGGGTCTTGGTCTCGATGCGGTACTCCCGGACAATACCGAAGCTATGCGAGAAGCCCAGGATGCGGGCCCGCTGGCAGACCATCGAGCAGTGCTCCACCCTCAAGTACCCCACCCGGGTGATGGGCAGCTCCTCAAAGTGGACGGGACCGGTGCGCGGAGTGTAGAAGACGCTCGAGGATTGCTTGTCCGGTTCGGCTTCTACCACGAGGTTGGTTAAATTCAATTCTGGCACGGCAACTTCTTTTTCTCCCACTTCTCCTATGAGACCTCCTCCGGTCTTCCTCTGTGTTGTGGCTGTCACCCGCAAGGTGGCTTCCAGCTTCTCTCCCAGCTCCTGCAGCATGCGGATCTCGTGATGCAGAGCCGGCAGATTCTGATTCTCTGCCTCTGGTCGCCGGTTCTTGGGGCTCTGAGTTTGCTCCAGCTGGCGCAAATGGCACTGACGATTACGCACCTCCTTCAGTTGGCGGCGCAGATCCTGGTTATTGGCGGCCTCAACCCGATCCTCTAGCTGGGTCTTTACGGTGGGGCTGTTCATTGGGCTGGACGCCGAACTGGAGGAGTACTCTTCCATATCCATCAAGGGGGCCATATCGAAGATGCCGGCATTGGCGGCATCCACCTGGCCCGCCCTACTGCGCAAAGCCTCCTCCAGAATGGAAGGACGGACTTTCCCTAAAAGTGTTATGATTGTATCTTAAGCAGGACAGAACTGTGTGTCATCTGGACTTACCACCCTGCTCCTTCTGATCCATGAGGTGTTCGCAGCTGGTCCTCAATTTCCGAGGTGTCAGGATCTCTTTGACCTTCCCCTTCTCCGGCTTGCACAGGTAGATGAAGCTCTTGTTCTGCTCGTCCGGCAGCCGAATGGCTTTCGCCAGCTTAATCTTGCGGCGGTCGGAGGAGCAGTTGCTGCCCCCGCGATCCCCAGGGTGACGCACTGGACTGGTGCTCTCGCTACCATGTGGGGTATTCATCAGTTGGCTGTGGTTGTAGTGGGGCGTCTGAGGATGACTGTGTACCTCGTTGTGACCGAGGTGGGCTCTGTGCTGCTCCACCTTGCCGAGATCCGGCTCCAGGGTCCGCATTCGCTGTGGTATGTTGCTCGGCATCGGGGCAGCCCGCTCCGCGGCCTTCGGAAGCTGTCGCTTAGCCATCCTGGGCAGGAGACTGCCCCGGTGCTTCCTCGGTGACGGGATGTTGGTGGAGTTTTGGTTGTTCTGGTTCATCATTGGTGCTGGAGGTGGGGCGGGGGTTCCCGGTGCCGCGGCGGTCTTTGTCTGGGGATAACGTGCCTTGGGAGACAAAGGGGTCAGAGGTGGTATCCAATCCTGGCCAGCTGCAGGACATTTAAGAGCCGAACGGCGAACTGTTTGAGCTAAAAATTGAGATTTTTTTTGTTGGTTATTTGTATTTTTTTTTTTTAGACTAAAAACTCTAAGACTATACTGTTCCTAATTTCTAAAACCCTAAGGTGTCTTTGAACTCCAAACTAGATATGGTCCCACCCCGCTAGGATTACTTACTGGTGGGCAATCCACGAGCCAGAAGCTCTGTCCTGGTGTACATGGTCTTGCGGCGCAAAGCCAACTGTTGAGCCTGTGTGATGGCTGAATTCTTTCCCTGATCCAGGTCGTGGGCTCCTGTCCCTCCTCCCGGCCCGTTATTCATCTGAATAACCTGATGAAGACCATCGTGGGCACGATCGAACTGCCTCATCTGGTTGAGGCGATTGCGATTCATTTCTGCAACATCAGCTGGGAGTTTGGTTCTATTTTCTTTTCAATTTTGAGTGGCTGGAGATTGGATTGGGGTTTTGGATTGCGGATTAATGGCTGTGGGGATATAGTCAATTATCTGCCAATCAAGGATGTAGAGAATTATGCTGTTCTTGGCCCGAAATGTTGAGATGTTATTGGAACGCTGGTCGAGTGCCTTGAGTAACTTTTTTAGCCGTCTGGTGAAATAAACAACATATATATGTTTGAATATATATATCGACCGGAGCTCAGATGACGTCCATTCTGGATCGAAATCAGACTGACAACAAAAGCACCTACAGCCCAGATTCTGAAAAAATGGAAATCTCAATTTAGCAAAGACTTCTTGGATAATTATTTTGTAGATTTATTTAGGAGTAGTATAGTACAGGACAGAAAATTTATTTTCCATAAAAAACACTCATAACTTGAGCATTTCCTATCTGATTTTTAAAATGGAATACCATTTATTAATCAGAGTTCCATTCTTCTTCGATCTACATCAAAATATAGCAAAAACCAAGCAAAAAAATATTGTCCCAATTTTTGGCCAAAATCCTGAGGGTACCCCTTGAAAAAATTTGAAAAAATGGCTCAAAAATTGTTTACTCACTAAGATCAGGAAGGTATACCATTTGAGGTTCTTTCAAGTATTAGCCGAGTTATGCTCATTTAACCACCACAAAAATCCAAAAATTTTAAAATCGTTTTAGGTAATTTTTTATGTTTGAAAAATCTGAATTTTTGCAAAAAATCATGAGGAAACCCCCTAGGAAAAAATGGGACACAAATTCTGCTGCCATTTTTTTAGGACCAAATTGTAGTTCCAGAAAGTAGAAGATCCTCCTGATCTTGTATAATCTGACATTAAAAGGCCAAGTTATGCCCTTCGACCTCATTGCAAAAAATATACTCTAGAGTCTAAATATACATTTAATTTCTTCTTTCGATCATAATTAAACTTTGGAACACCCTCGATGGTCTGGGGCTATGAGAGATCATTTTCTTCGCTTTCGATCTGGGCCCGGGCCTCGGCCAGAGCCTGTTTCTGCAGTTCCTCGTACTGGCTGACATTTGATTCCCTAACGATGAGGAATGGTATTGGTGAAATCCTCTTTTTCTTGACGATCTTGGGCGGAACCGGGGGCACGGGGCGTGGCCAGGAGAAACTATTTAGCTGCCAGCTGTAGGCATTGCTGGTAGAGCTGGCGCGGAAAGTACTTAATGGGGATATGGAAGTGGCGGAAGGAGGTCTCTTTTTGCCACGCAGCTTCCCTCCGTTCCCAACCAGCCCCTGGGCTGGATTCTTGGGAGACTGGAGCTGAAGCTGGAGGCCCATGTTGCAGGCGGAGATGGCGTTGCCGTAGCTGATCCTCAAACCCGCCAGATAACGGCGACGAGCGGCCAGGCGACGCGCCTCCTCGACTGCGGTCTCACCTAGGTGGCTGTTGGTCATCACCATCCTCCTCCGCCACCTACTCCACCTTTTCCGTCTCCAGTTTTCAGTTCTCTTTTCTGTGAAAGATATTAGACAGATTCCACCCAGGTGGCTCCAGATCAGGATATAACAGATATACATATCTAAAAATCGAAACTAACCCCCTAAAAATCGTATTCTTGCAGAGATCAAAAGTGTATTGGAGCTCCTGCCTTTAGGACTCTTCCTGGCATCGACAACTGGTGCGAAATCAACTGCCTGCGTTATCCTCCCAACTGCCCGGAGGAAGCCTGTCACTGTCCGTGAGTATTGATCCTTATATCCTACACTATATCGATGGTAATCCAACTCCTTATTCGAATTTCAGGCAAGAGTGTGTGGCCATTGGAGAGCTGGAAGGCCAGGAAGGAGCCGACACCTATTGCATGGACCAGTGCCTCAACTACAAGTCAGAGTGTCCTCCAGATAGATGCCGCTGCTATTAACCAGCTCCACTACTTCGAACTTATGCTACTGCCTATTCTACTATTCTACTACCTATTCTACTACTATCTAGTACTATTAACGCTCCTATGTATTGCTACTGCCCCCCCATTGCCCAGTGATGTTGCAACCAAGGTGTACGATGCGAGATCCAATGAATTTGAATTTGATATTGATTTCGATTTTGTTTTCACAACAAATGGGTCCATTTTGGTGGGAAAATTTGAAACGGGGGAGCTCTAAAAATGGTCACTTCCGCTAATGCCGCTTGGAGGCCTCGTAGAGAAAGGGCCGGGTGAAGGCCTCCAGGAGTTCACGCTGCTCCCGCAGCCTCCTGGTCTGAGCCACTGGTGACTCCTTGCTGTTGATGTAGCGCCGGGCGCGAAACAGGGCCGACACTGTACTCCCCAGCTGCTGCCAACGTTCGGTGGCCCGCGATTCCATCTGCAGATCCGGTATGGTCTTGGGCAGCTTGATCTGCGCTGGCATGGGCACTTGTTCAGGATCTGGGTCCGTGGGGCTCTTGGCACTCGGGTAGAGGAGCGTAGAGGCGTCAATCGGTGCCATGGGCATGGTCTGACTGCGAATAAGGACTTCGGCGCGCTCCTCACGGGCATCCTCTTCGCTATCCTCCGGCGGCAGGGCGGCACAACTTCCCGTGTGCAGATCCCGGACATGGGCGAAGCTAGATGCGATCCTGCGCAGAGGTACTTCATTCGGAGCATACAGTGGTGTCGGCGCTCTGTAAGGCAGCCGTGCGACCGCAGCCGATGGAGGCGTCGCAGCGGAGGCAGTTATATCCTTCCTACTATCCAGCCCCGAGGCGGTGTTGGCATTGGTGACACTAGCAACAGTCTGCCGCTGCCGCTGCATCCGGTTGAGATTTATGCTGGAGAACTTGTTACCGTAGCTGCGGCGCATCTCGGCCCGCTGGCGGCGTGCCTCCTCCGCGGTGATGGCCACGAGTTGATCCCTGGCCAATTTACGCTGTTGCGACGCCATGGCCTCCAGAATCCAAAAAGCGGAAAAATCTTAATTTAAACAATTATCGAACAAATTCAACTAAAAATTTGAAATAAAATATGACAAAAATGAGTCCGAAACGAGCGCTGGGAATTTTGGATTTTTTTACGAGAGTGTGTCGCGATACTACGAACAAAGGTTTTGTGTGTGGATCGGGCTGTCCAGGCAATGTGCTGCGATGGCTGGGGACGATTAACTAGATGGGACTCCCCCGCACAGAGAAACGGGATCGTCGGGCGGAATTCGCCCGGTCTACTGCGATTTTCCATCGAAAACTCGACAGTATAGTTTTACTACTTTATGGAACTACTTTACATAAATGGGCCAGACCTCATGGTCTTTTGATATATCTTTAATAAATCTTCCACATCTTAGAGTCTAACCGTACTTACAACAATATAAGTTACAGGAATGAAAAAAAAAAAATGTAAACATTTTCAAATATTTCTTTAGTGAATTTTAGAAATATTGCAAAAAAAAAATCAAAGTGGTTTTGTTTTGAATGGGGGAGTGAGAAGGGAGTTGTCCTCACTCCTTGAGATATATGACTGACTACCTAAAAGAACATTAGTATGTGATCAGAACTGCAGGCGCTTCTTTTGGGGCAGACTGTGACCACGAACAGTCGTCTCGATTAGTTTTCGTTTGAGTTGCGGCTTATCGTCGGCTTGGGCATTGGCGTTCTCCTTGGCGGCGAGAACGGACGAAGGCATGGGCAGCTTGGGGCCCACTGTTGGGGCTGGCTTGTTGGCAAAGTATTGCATGCTGAGTGCCTGCTGGCAGGAAACACGCCTTAGCGGATTCATGGCGAAAAGGCAGCGCATCAGGTGGATCAGATCGTTGTCGGCCGCCGTAAAGATGTTCTCGAGCGGTGTTCCCGGAAAATTGCGGAACTGTAGGTAGTCATTGAGCTTGCTGATATAGGGCCACTCGGTCTCCGATGGTGTGCCAAGGGTGGCAAATATTCTGGTCAGTTGATCCAGGTCAGAGTCGCCCGGCATGAAGGGAACGCGCAACATAAGCTCCGCCAGAATGCAACCCACAGCCCACATGTCCACCCCGGTTCCATATTGCCTGGCGCCAAAGAGCAGTTCCGGCGATCGATACCACCGGGTCACCACGTGGTGGGTGTAGACGCGATTCGGCGAGCCAAAGGACTTGGCCAAGCCGAAATCACCAATCTTAAGAATCCCATCGCTGTTGACTAGCAAGTTATTGGGCTTCAGATCCCTATGCAGGATCCAGTTCAGATGCAGATACTCCAGGCCCCGCAGAGTCATAATGGCGTATGCCTTTATGTTAGCCGGCGTAAGGATAATCTTTGTGTCCTTGATTATCACCTCCAGATCGGTGTCCATGAAATCAAACACCAGGGAGACATTCGACAGCTGGCCAAATACATCCACCAAACCGATAATGTTCTCGTGCTGCAGCTCCTGCAGGATCTTGATCTCCCGCAGAGCTGTCCGGTTAATGCCATCCCTGGCTTCCTCACGTGAGCCTTTCTTGATTTTCTTTACAGCCACAATCTGACTGGTAACTGCATCACGGGCTTTATATACAATAGCAAACTAAAACATAAACCAAGCAAACAATTGATTTGGGGTTTTTGTGTGGCCTATAAGGACTTCTCACCTGTCCCTCGCCCAAGAAGGATAGCTTAGCATATCGGTCTTTTTTGTCGCTGGCGTTGGGCAGCATATCACAGGCGTATCTTTCGTTTTTAATCTATAAATAAATAAATAAGACAAAATATAAACCAAGAAGTGCCGGCGAATTTGCCAGTGTGACCCGATAAAACTCGTGCGTCGCAGACTAAACAGTATTGTTAATAATACTTAATCGTTGAACAACACACAATATTGATAAGCTTCATGTTTTTTGGGTTTTCTTGAATAAACCATTTTTTTTACACTAGGCTCAATAAAATATTTTGTTTAAAGGTATGTACCGCATTTTTTTATATCAAATTGGTGTCTAGAATTGGTCAGAATTAACCATGAGAGTTAAAACCTTTAAGTCTAAAACAAAGCAACATATTTAGAAGAAATTTACTTAATTTTTTTAATGTAATTTAGGTAAATATTTTGATTAATATTTTAAAACAATATTTTTATATTTTATATGTATTAAATTTTCTTTTGTTATCGATAGTTATCGAAAGAGTGGCAACTCTTCAACCGCTCGCGTTTTACAGCACTACCTACCGGGAGCATTTTTCTTGCTGTTTTCTTTTTTTCGGGAGAACTTGTCTTGTCCTCTCAATTTGCTACTGTATTTTGAATTAAATCTAAAAAAGAAAGGCCAACACCATGGACGTGCGACCAAATCAAACCATTTATATAAACAACCTGAACGAAAAGATCAAGAAGGAGGAGCTGAAGAAGTCGCTCTACGCTATCTTCTCGCAGTTCGGCCAAATCCTGGACATCGTTGCATTAAAAACCCTCAAAATGCGTGGCCAAGCGTTTGTTATCTTTAAGGAGATTGGTAGTGCCTCGAATGCGCTGCGCACCATGCAAGGATTCCCCTTTTACGACAAGCCCATGCGGATTGCTTACTCCAAGTCAGATTCAGATGTCGTGGCCAAGATGAAGGGCACGTTCAAGGAGCGCCCCAAGAAAATCAAGCCACCAAAGCCGGCACCAGGAACCGACGAAAAGAAGTAAGTATTGAACATCCCGTCATATCAAAACAAATTGTAACTTTTTTGGCTTGCAGGGACAAGAAGAAGAAGCCGGCCAATGCCGAGAACTCGAACCCGAACACACAAACGGAGCAACCTCCCAACCAGATTCTTTTCCTCACCAATCTGCCGGAGGAGACCAACGAGATGATGTTGTCCATGTTGTTCAACCAGTTCCCTGGCTTCAAGGAGGTGCGTCTGGTCCCCAATCGCCACGACATCGCCTTTGTGGAGTTCACCACCGAGCTGCAGAGCAATGCCGCTAAGGAGGCGCTCCAAGGCTTCAAGATTACCCCGACGCACGCCATGAAGATTACCTTTGCCAAGAAGTAGGCTGCTACATACTACACGACTCACGTGTAAACGGCTGTAGCAACTACTCTTGGCGCGACATGCTTTTTTTTACAATCTTAATTTAACGAATAGAATAAATCGTCTTAAATATACCAAAACCATAGAAACAACGTGTGTTATTTTATCTTTGAATGGATGTTTATCTATTAGATAAATATTGCTAATATTGCTTAATATTATATTATATTTAATATTATTTTGTTCATCTTAGGTCTGCTTGGAACCCAAGGAATACCCACTTTCCTCCCTAAAAGCCATTAAAGAACACCAAAGCACCATTTTTTTTGGCCAAAAGATTATTTTTTATTTGATTTTTGTAACACAGAATTTAGGTGGCTGTAGTAACACTTCTTCATTTAAAACCTATTCTGCTAAGGGAGGTATAGTAAGTCATCAGATAAGTCATCACCCCGTTGGATCCCCAAACATGGTCAAACTGGAGTCTTGAAAAATGTCAGTCTGTGAAGAAAATGATTTAATTAATTAACTATTTAGTATTTAGTAGTAGACAAAAATACGTACGAGGAGAAGTTCGTGTCGAGGAGAGTAGGAGAGGGCCACTTCATTCTCTTCATACATCTGAGATCCGCACATTTTAAAAATCCTAATTTTTTAACCAATTCTTATTCTTTCCGGTAGGATAATGTCTTACCCGGAGGATCAATTAATAAATTAGAACAAGTTACTGTAAAGAAGGAACATAGAGAAGGGTTGAAGGAATTTTTCGAAGAAATACTCACAAATAATTGGTCATCTTTGAGCTTAATGCTAATGTGGGGAGTATTATCCCCTTTAACACGTCATGCTTTTTTAAAAAACCTAAACAAATATTTAATAATATTAGCTTTGAAAACTTTTTCAAATAAAACTTACGTTGCTTTTTTTTTTTGATGGAGATTAAAGCAATATACATACATTCCTGTAGACTAGGATTCTTCTTTTATAAAAAGCCTTGTAGTTAGGGTGGAGGTTTATTTTCAAAACCCCCGTTTTTGGGGACCTAATGTCCACTTTTATTATTTTTTTTTGTCCCCTTGGGAACGGACTGTCCGAAAACTAGATCCGATATGGTACTATACAATTTGTATGTTACGATAATCGTATTTTAATTTTTATACAATAGCAGAATGATCCACCCCGTGACCTGTAATCAATAGATTTTAAGTTAAAGCAAGAAAGTTAATATCTTTGGAGAAACTCACTTCGATATCCGGTTTCCATGTGGCTTTTGTAAAATTCAGGCGAATATAGAAAATTTTACTTCTGGCATTAGTCTTTAATAGTATTATCTTTAATATTTTTCTTCTTTTGAATTGACGGGATAATACTCACCGATAAGCTTTATGCAAATTAAACACAGAATTTAAAAAAACAAAATCGCTCGCCTTTTTTTACAATATCGAATTCCACTATTTTACAAATTTTGAAATAGTGTTTAGTTTTTTATTTACCGACTAGATTTTTGGACCGGGAAAATATTTTTTCCAAATATGAAATGCCAAAAGGTTTTTACAATTTTTTTTAAATTTTTTTAGTGATGTTAGCACTACAAGTGCTGGGATGCGACTGAAGCTGTTCGGGTTTGAGCTCCCCTAGCTCGAATGGAGCTGTCAGACAAATAAATTCAAGGCTAACTTGTTTCTAAAAAAAAATCTACTCTAAATTGTACATGAAACATTTCAGGATGAATGTGAAAATTAAATAAATAAGAATAGGAATTTTTGGGATTTGAAAAAATATTTTATTAAAGCTTTGGGCTCTAGAAAAAAAACAAAATCTCTCTTTTATATTTCTAAATACAAAAAAAAATTATTAGAATCTAAAGAGTCTATACCATTTAATATCACCTCTATATTATATATAATTTGATTGATTATTTCAATTAGAATGATTTAAAATATGAATGTTAAATGATAAAGTCATGCGAATTTTGGGGACTTGAAATAATATTATATTGGAGCCTTGGGCTCTTATTTAAGCTCTCAAATCCTCAAGAAATTTAAAAAATACAGAATCTAGCTATTAAGTCTCTTAATAAAAACTAATTAGACTCTAAAGAGCCTATACCATTTAATATCACCTCTATATTATTCAAAATCTGCTTGATTATTTCAATTAGAATGATTTAAAATATACAGAAACCATTCAAGTATAAAGTACTTAAAATAATATTATATTGAAGCTTTGGGCTCATATTAAAGCTCTTAAATCCTCCAGAAATTAGAAAAAAAAACAAAAGAATCTCCTTATTATGTCTCTAAATACAAACTAAAAACTAGAGCCTATACCATTTAATATCACCTCTATATTATTCAAAATCTGCTTGATTATTTCAATTAGAATAATTTAACAGAAACCATTCAAGTATAAAACCAGCGCCTTATTTTAACCTTCCCTTCATTAAACTTAAAATTATGTAAATTTTACAATTCAACTTGTGTACTTTATTTAAAACAGCAACCATCAGTACCATTTGAAATTTTTCATCAGTCGATTGTACATATTTCCGGATGGGATAGTGTTTGGTGTTACAATAGATCAGTATGGCATTCGAGTAATGGTTCGTTGTAGTTCTTGTTATAGTGTAGCATTCGAGAATCAAAGCAAAAAAGCATTATATTATTATGTATACCTTCCATTTAAGTGTATAGTGTAAAAAGTTTGTTTGTTTCTTTGAAGGGGGTGGTGTTTAGGTGAAATTCAGCACATTCTTGACATCCTAATTAGTTCTCCAAGGCTGCGCCCTTGGCCTCGGGAACAGCGCATCCTGTATCGCGATCGCCCAGCTCACAAATGCTGACGTCGCCACTGGTGGCGCTCGGCCCGGCACTGATGCTGTCCATCTCCGACTCGTTCAGAGACGATCCGCCGTCCAAGTGGCTGGACGAGTGGCCGTGGATGCTTTGGTCGGGATTCTCCACCGATTCGCCTACGTACTTTTCCATACACTTGGCCAGCTTTTCGGAATTGCCGCCAACGAAAAGCTCCACTACTTCGCCGCCCTTGATGAAGACGAATGTCGGCATGCTAGTCACGTTGTACTCAACGGTGATCTCCTCGTTCTCATCCACGTTGACCTTGAGGACGACAGCGCGGTCGGAATAGAGCTGGGCCAGCTCCTCCAATTTGGGCGCAATCACCTTGCAGGGACCGCACCAGTTGGCATAGAAATCGATCACCACCAGCTTGTCCCGGGCCTGGGCCAGCTTCTGCTCGAGATCGTCCTTGCTCCGCACTAGATACACCATGATTTTTTACTGCCAATTACAAGAAAACACAATATTATTTTTGAATTTAAAATTTTTTAGATCTTTTGCTCGACGTTCACCTTAGACAAGAAAAAAGAAAAATTATTCCAAAGACGATTGACAATCGAAGCAGTTGTGCCTCGGACGGAGAATTTTCGAGAATGATGGAGCTAACAGGAAGCACGCCGATGCTTCTGACGCTGCCTTGACTTTTCACCTCAACTACGTGGCAACTCTGCAAAAGGCAGCCATTTTGGCGAAAGCGAAGCTTGCTTGGAAACTCAATATTTGAATTGAAAAGAGATGCAAGAATATGCAAAAATTAAATATGATCCAGAAGGGGGGAGCATAATATTTATTTTTGTCTAACCAACTTTATAAACTTGTAGTGGTGTTGTTATGCACGTGGTTTCACATAACCTCAAATTTTGTAATGGATTGTTCTGGAAATGAAAATAAACCATGTAACCCCAAGTAGGCCATTTCCTCTATGTATTACTACTTTCGCCTCTAGCTTCCATCAGTACCATTTCAGTTCCCCGACAGTAGGCTACGGGTGGAGACGTCATTGGGTTTCCACTTTATAGCTGGCATTTGCAAACAAAACTTAAAATCACACACATGAAAAAATCTCTTTCGTCAGTCAACAAACCAAAAAACCTTTAGGACGCTGCTAAATTTTCAAGTGAAGCCAAAAGTAAATCCCAGTAAAAACCGTAATACCGTATAAACCGAGCCGGAAAATAAGAATTGACGGTGCAGGGACTAACTATGTCGTATCAGATCAAATCCACGCCGTATTTCCGGCGCATGTTCAACAACAGCAAGAAGAACGGGCAGCTGCAGAGATTGCGGGAGGAGTACGAACGGATCCAGGAGTTCAATGACCGCACCATCGAGCTCAAGATGCGCCAGGTGCGACTGAAGCGTCTCTTCAGGGAGATCGAGGATATCAAGGACGGCGGAGCTGGTGGTGGTAACAACAACGGCAACAATGTCGGCAATATGGGCGGTGGAGCAGGCGGTGCTGCCATCGGGCAGTCGGGGCAGGGGCATGCCCGAGATCGCTCCCGCGGCGGCTCCTGTTCCAGTGCCAGGGTGCGAGTCATGCGGCGTCGCCACCTCAGAACGATGGCGGTGTCAACGCCGGAGCAGAGACGTCACCACCAACGGGTGGAGGCCCTGACCCGAGCCCGGGAGCTGGGCAAGGAGATATCGCGCCGGAACGCCGAGATAGCGGAGACCGGAGGCGGGGGGTACCTGCGCAACGAATTGCGCGTCACCGCCAAGATGCAGGCGGTGCAGGACGCCCGCCGGGAGGCAGTGGAGCGGAGGGAGCGGGCGGCCAAGCGGATCAGCTACGGGAACGATCAGTCCCGCCAGAATCTGCTGCGCCAGCTCCAGGTGCGCCAGAAGCGCCTAATGGGTGGTCAATCACCGATGCGTCTGGTCCAGCAGACAGCGCGTCCGGCACAGGTGGGACCCAGTCGGGCTCATACTCACATCCACCAAGGCCATGTTCAAAGCCTTAGTCATGGGCAGCTGACGGTACCGCGTCCGAGTCGCCAGAAGCACAGTTCGCCCAGGTATCTCAACCGATACCCGGACTTCCGCCAGTTGACGGACAGCCAGCTGGACTTCCTGGCCAGCCAGGCGAGGGAGGAGCAGCAGCTACGTGTCCGGCGCGAAAACAACGCCACCTACAATAAAGCCCACTGCGAAGAAGTCGAGGAGGAAGACTTCAACACGGAAGAGCTGGCCGAGCTGGGGCTAGAGGAAGAGCGCCTGCGCCGGGAGATGAACTACTCAGAGGAGGAACGCCTCCAACGACACCGGGAATACTCTGACGACCGGCGGCGCCAAAGACAGACGAGTGACGAGCCGACCGATCTTGATGGGGAGGAGGAGAGTCAGGAGGAGGACCCCAACGACGATGGTCGTGAGGAAGTGAGCGGGGAGCTACCGCTCAACGGGAAGCGGGTACGTAAGACGGCTCTGGAGCAGGAGTTGCAGCTCCGACAACAGGTCCAGCAGGAGGACGAGGCCGAGGAGGCGGAGGAGCAGCGACGACGCATGCACCTGCGCGAGGAGACCTCACCCCTGCGGATGGCCCGCTTCTCGCTTAGCTCCACCACCACCACGGCCACGACAACCACACCTAGATGCGTCCAGGCACCACAACGCGGTGACGATCCCTCCGATGACTATGAAATGGTTACGGCGGCCTCCCATTCCGCCACCATAGCCGCCCACCAGCCCACTTGTTTTGTGCCGCCGAACGCAGACATCGATACCGATGACGAGGACAAGAAAGACGAGGAGCAGAAAGGAGAGTATCGTTTAAAGAAAGACGCTGGGGTGGATCCCATGCCGTCGGTGAACCACTGGCGAAAGATTTCCCTAATGATGCCCTTTATGAGTAGCAAGTCCAGGACCAGAACCGCGCCCACCGTAATCGAGCACCTCGACGATGCTGCACCCAACGTGTCCGGCATTTCCTATCACGGTATGGAGATCCACCAGCAACAGAGCCTGTTTCAGCGCCAGCAGGATCAGCCCCAGTATCATGTACAGCAGCCCCAGCGCCAGGCTACAGTTTACCGGGCGCCACACAGCGAGTATTTAATGTCCACCATCCAGTGCGTGGATGCAGTGGAGCTTTAAAAGGGATCCCCAACAGCATCCCCCTACCCTTCCTATGGAACAGAGATCCTGGATCGCCACAGTCACCTGCCCAATCTCCGCCAGCATGGGACTGGCAGCAGATTTACGAAAAAAGATCGAGTCAAAGGCAAAAAAATTAAATTTTTTTGTTTAATAAATTGGTAGTATTGAATAGATAGTATTAAATAGTTTTTATTTTTTGGGGAAAATAAAAACTTTATTTAACAGATTTCTTATCTGCTATAATGGGATAACCAAATGGTATAAGGAAAATAATAAATTGTGTGGTTTTGTGGTCAAGATTGAGGTCAAAAGTGTTTCCTTATTTAAACAAAAAACTTTTAGAAAATAGAGAGATGCTATGAGTCTGTTTCCTAGACAATATTCTAGAAGTCCTTCTTACAAAGTTTCAAAATATTAACAAAAAAAAAAAAAAATGCTAGTTCAAAAGCATGCATCCTACTTCAAAAGTACCATTCTTTTTATGTGCGGCCCATATCTCCCATTTCTTCCTTGGGTGCTCCTCCATTTTCTTATTTTTCTCCTCTTGATTCTCCATTTCGTTCTTTTTCATTTCTTGCGTCTCCATGTCCTGGTTTTTTGAAAAGGGAAAGAAGGTTCCCTTTTCTTTCTCTGAGCCTCCAGTTCTTTCGTGATTTTCTGCTCCAGCATTTCCTTTCTTTCATTTTTCGCTTCCTGCATCTTTATTACTTTCTTTTCCACTTTCTCCATCTTTATTTCATTCTTTTCCGGTTCCTTCAGCTTTATTTCTTTCTTTTCAGCTTCATCAATCTTTGTTTCTTTTTTTTCCGCTTCCTCCATCTTAGTAGCTTTGTTCTCCGTATCCTCCATCTTCAGACCCTTCTTTTCCGCTTCCTCCTTATCGTTTCTCCTCATCGATTCTCGCAGAGAATCTTTGTACTTTTTAATCCACGATTCCTGCTCCTCTCGGTATGACTGCATCCAGGCGACCAGCGCCTCTCTTAGCGTAGCATGGAATGGATTATGCATCGGCGGGACCTCATAAGAACTGTGGAACGATGGCGCATAGACTATTTCGTCGAAGATGTCCTCGAATTCCTCGTCATTCATGGGATACAGCCGTGACTCCAGCATCTCAAAACTGAAAAAGAATAATAAGGAATTGTAGAAGAAAACACCCAAAATATATTCCATTCTTACGAAGGCAGTCTCTCACGAAGATAACGAATCCTGCGCCCACCATTGTAATCGATGTCATCTTTGCCAAAGTGGTGACTCCGGCCCGCCAAGCCGGCCTCCACCAGCAAACGATTCAGCGAAGGCGCAAAGTCCTTGTCGTGCGACAGGCGCATGGACACGACACCATTCTGCGAGTCCACCTCGTCAACAATTGCATGAATTTCTCGGTCTTCCACCAATTGCCGGAAATGAGATATGGTATCCGGTGGCCAGTGCCGACCCAGAGGATGAACATGTGACAACGATCCTCGAAAAGCGAATGCCGGCTCATGTGCAAAAGACCTGGGAAGAAATTTCAGGTTTTTGGGCGACACATCCTCCCCACATCCAAAGTCCATATAGTATACAGATACAATGTCGCTATTTGGTGGCGGTGTCGCCACGATCCTAGCCCGGCGCCAAGCGGAATTCTTACTGGCCGCGCAGATGTAGCCCTCTTTGAGGAAATAAGGCGTTATCGGATAATCGTAGTCTGCACTCTTAGACGAACTTTGGTTGTAGAAAAGGCTATCAGAAAAATAGGAGCGATCAGAAAAGGAGCGATCAAGGATAGGTAGCGAGGATAAATCACCAAACTTACGCAATATCACTATTCATATCCCTCAAATGTCTGGTATCGTGCATCTCGTTTGACAAGTTAAACCAAAAGTGAAAAGGACCATAAACTTCAGTAACGAAGATTTGAATATTGGCGCCGACAGTGCAGATATTTTCGAATGACATAGGCGGTAGCTTCTCGCCCGGTTCAACCGCATCGTGGGGCCTGTCCATCTTGAAAACCGCATCGGTCTGTTAACCAAAAAAACAATCAAAATAGGGAGAATAGAGAGAAACTCTACGGCGAGGGGTCTTACCAAACAGCACTCTGGCACAGCAACATGAAATTGCAGGCGTTGGTCAAACAAAGCTATCTGCTTATCCGGATTCCTTCCATCCTGATTCTTTTCGCACGATGTTTCATCCCCCAAGTACTGAGCAAAAGGATTTGTGCCTTTTGCCACAACCTCTGCATCGTTGCTATCTATTGAGATGGAATTTGGCAATGTCGAGTCCTTGTCAAGGTCTTCAGGTGGCGACTTCACCGCTGGATCTGTAGGCCCAATGTCTGTGGGATCAGTTTCGCGGTTCGACCCATCGGGAGGACTTGCCGTCGACTTGAGCCATCCGTCTATGTATCCTATATAGTCCGCAGGTATGTCCTTGGATTGCTCAATGTATCGGTCGAGTTCCAGTGCATTCATCTTTTTCTGAGCCACCCAAGCAGCTAAATTGTCGTGTTCTGAATAGTAGATATTGATGGGCTTCTTAAGGGTAGATGGATTCTGATAAGGAGACTGTTCCTGCTTCGGGGCTTCTATGGGCTTTGAATTTGGGATTTCCCGGGGTGATTGAGAATGGGTTCGACCCTTTGAACTCCATTTTTTCGAATCTTGATAATGAAAAACAGCCTAAATGCAAAAAAATGTTGGTTTATTTAGTTGTCTTCCGAGTACCATAAGAATTCACATTTTTTTGGTCCAGCGAAGCTTTGGTTGGTCTGGGGTTTCGCAAGCCTTTTTGGCGGTTATATACATGTTGTTTCTTTCGAAAAACTTTTGGCGGATGCCGATCTCTCTGGGGTGCCAAGTAATATTTCTTCGATTCCTCTTCCATTTCAAAATAATATTTATAATCGTTAGCTTATAAGGCGTCTTCCATGGAATGATGAATTAACTGTAATTTGAATTACCAACAGCGTGGCAGCACAGTACCATGTTGCCAGAAAAACCACTCAATCATCGGAAAAAGTTATATTTGTCTGAAAATGTGAGAGATATGTTCTCTTATTTGAATATTGCACTACAATTACCTTAAAAATAATAATTATTAAATTTTTAGATTAATTATATTAATATTTTATGTTTATAAATCGTTTCACACCCACCACTAGTTTGTGCAGGTCTGGCAACACTGGCTTTGGGGTTTCGGTTTGTTTACGGTGCACGTGTTGCCCAAGAAGTCCAATTCTGACTTAAATAAGTGCACAACTATATCACAAAAATGGACAGCGAAGCGGATGACTACGAGATGAGCGGCTCCGAGAAGGAGTACGACGAGGAGGAGCGCGAGATTCTGGAGGATCTGCGTAAGCAACGCAAAAAACGACAGGAACAGGATCCCCGCCAAGAAGTTTTGGCCTTTAGCGACGAGGACGACGATGAGGATGAGGATGAGGACGGGGATGTGAAGGAACTGATGCGCGACAGCGACATCGAGGGAGCTGAGGATGACGACGCCGATCTGCCCAACACAATGGACTGGGGTAGTAAACGAAGCACCTACTACAACACAGACTTTGTAGACCAGGACTACAGCAGCTACAATGCTCAGGAGGAGGACCTGGCCCGCGCCGAGGAGGATGAGGCCAAAAGAATCCAGCTGCGTCTGGCCAAGCGGCTCAGCGAGGCGGATTTCCAGTTGGACGACGTCAAGGCAGACAGCAGTGGCGATGAAGAGGATACGTCCGCCAGTAAGTCGGCTCCGGGCATTAAAGTGAGTCTGAAAACAAAAATTATGTAAATATATGTTAAAATTTGTGTGGTTTTTGCAGATCACTACCGACCTGACAGGCCTTTCGGCACGTGAGCGACTCCAGCTTCTCCAGAAGGATTCCCCAGAGTTCCTGGGGCTTACACAAGACTTTCAGAAGCATCTAGAGGAGGTTAAAGAGCTGTTAACGCCAGTTTTGAACTATGTAAGGAACCATGGTGTGCCCATGGTACCGCCCTTGAAGTTCGCCAGTCTCTACCACAACGTGCTCGCCACCTACTGTTCCAACGTAGCCTTCTACTTGCTTCTGAAGGCGCGACGCAGTAGCGTCAAGTTCCATCCGGTGGCTAAGCGTCTCGTCCAGCTTAAGCAGCTAAGGGATCAGTTGGCGCCGCGCTACGAGGAGTACATACGGCCCCAGCTGGAGGCTCTGCTGGAAAGGATTCAGGACGGAGATGCCTTCACAGTTTTGGATGTATCCCAGCGCAAGGCCAAGCTTCAGATCTTGAACAAATACAGCAATGGCGAGGTGGCCGCCAATGAATCGACCGATGATGAGGGTGCTACAAAACAAAGGAACGATGGAGACCAACTGGAGGACGGCGGGGAAGAAGATGAGGATGAGGAGCCGGATGAGGAAGACGCACGCCGTGGCATCACCTACCAAATGGCCAAAAACAAGGGTCTCACTCCCCACCGAAAGAAGGAACTACGCAATCCGCGCGTCAAGCACCGCGGCAAGTACCGAAAGGCTCTTATCCGGCGCAAGGGTGCAGTGCGCACGGTACGGAAGGAGGTTCAACGCTACGGAGGCGAGATGTCCGGCATCAAGGCATCCGTCACCAAGAGTGTCAAGTTCCGTTCCTAGTAATCCAGATAGTCCACATTTTAATCAAATAAAAATCCAAAAAATATGTTTTAGTTTTGTCCAAATGCTAAGTTTAATAGGGAGTGTAGCTTGGAATCATTTTGGATATTCCACTCAAGGATCAGATGGATGTTGGCCGAGTTATGGGCTTTCGTATCGAGGCTTAAGATCGGATGGATATTGCCCGATATGGATATGGATATTGCCCGAGATATCAATATCTTCCCAAGGACGATATTTTGGAGTTTCATGATTTTCCCCATTTTTGAAGGGTATCCATAAAAAAAATTTGAAAAAATCGGATCGAAAATTATATTTTTAGGTTTTGATGCAGATCGGTGGAGAATCGATCCAGAAATCGTTTGAGGTATTACTCTTTAGGATCGGATGGATATTGGCCGAGATATGGCCTTCCCAACGGGTCTCAAGGGTTTTCTTAACTTTCAAAAAGAGTCTAGATCGGATCGAAAATATTATTATTAGGTTTTGATGCAGAATTGAAAAATAAATCTAGGAACCATTTAAGGTATTCCCCCTAGGATAGAGACAGATGTTAATCCCTTTCGAGATATACCTACCAATGGTTCAAAACTTCCCAAGCCGATTATTTTTTTGCTTTTATTTCACGTCTCTCTTGATTCATTTCAAGTTTACATTCAATTCTTCATTTTGAATTTGTACGTGTCAGTAAGTGAGGTGTTTTTTAAGGAAATACAAAAAATAAAAAATGGTTCAAAACAAAAACGGATGTAACTTACAAATATTTGTAAGCTCGTTCTTTTCAAAGAACGAAACAAAATGAAAAAGATGTTGAAACAAAAAACGGATATGTAACTTACAAATATTGGTTTGTAAAGCTCAATTTTGTACATGCGCTCCTGGCTTGGCTATAAAACCAATATCTTATAGGTACTTAATTACTAGAAGTTCGGTGGAAGCCTTCACAGATTCAGTAGCTTTCTGAAGTCATCGTTGGACTTCGAAGTTCCAGCTTCCTCCTTGTCTTTTTTCGAATCTTCGATCTTTCCGTTTGGTCCTGCCTCTGCGGATTTCTGCCCTTCGGTGTTGTCGTTTAGGCGTAGCTTCTTTTCGGCCACCTCCTTGCGCACCAAGGCCGTGGGAATCAGTGTGGTCGGCATGCGACGCTTAGGCGCCACCTTGGCCTTAGCAGAATCATTCGACGAGGACGTCCACTTCTTGCTCGGAGACAGAAGGTTCCTTGGCGGCGGATTCGATATCATCACAGAGATCTGCAAAGGCTCGACTATTAAAAGGGGAATGCGTTTACGGATTTTACTCACTTTTATGCCGCCCAACAGATACCCATCTCGTCCAGTCACCGCTGATTGGGCAGCAGATGGCACATCAAACTCCACGTAGGCGATACCCGGTTTGTTTCTGGAAGTAGGAAAGCGAGTTAAATCAGAGGAATTATTTTTCTCACCGACAATCACTCACTGTTTTTGTACCAAACGTACATCCTTAATGGTGCCGAACGGCGAAAAGAGGTTCTGCAGTTCTACCTTTGTGCAATCATTGTGCAGATTCTTCACAAAAATCTTATTAGTCTCCAGTTGTGCTGAAAAGAAATGTGAAAGGTTGAATGTCAAGTCCATAGACAGAAACCGAGCCTGGAAGCCTTACTTGAGTACTTAAAGTGGGATTCACGCGTCTCTGAAACGGCAATACGCTTTAAGGCTGCTTTGGCGGCAGCTGAAGTCGAAGCCACTGGTTCTTTGGCTTTCGGAGGCTGTTTCTTTGGTTGACGCTGATTAACCGAACTCTTCTCCTGCTGCTGGCGAGGATGGGCATTCCTCCATTTCGAATGCATTGGATTGGGAAGCAATTCATAATATTCCTTGGGTAGCTCCATACCCTGACAGGCCGCAATGGAATCGTAGCTGCCGCAAGATCTTTCGTAACGGCGAAGCATTTCCTGCACCATAAGACCATCCTTTAAAGTCGGCTGCTTGAGTGCCTCCAAAAGGATACCCCGAGTTTTACGGCCCTCAGGATTATACTGAAATTCCATTTGGGCAAAGTTGTGCCAAAGAAGACCATAGTGTGAGCTTTCAGGATACGCTACAGATTGTTAAAAGGGTAAGATATAGAATACCAGCTTTTTTTCTTTAAGCGTAAGAGACTCACCCAAAATTTGGCGCCAAATAAACTCGCCGTTTTCCGGACTAGCTAGCTTCGAGTACTCAACCTGCGCCCACAGCTGCAGAATCTCGTAGCGAGTGTCTGCCTGGTCGCCATACCAAGAGGAAAGGTCGTCCCAAGCCTTCTGGAAAGCCTCGCGAAGGCTGGCAACCTGCTCCTCATATTCGGATTCAGTTGTTCGCACTCTATAGGCGAGATAGTCCAAATGCAGCTCCACTGTCATACACATTTTTAGCCTTATGCGCGCCAGCATCGCTTTAACCTCGCTATCGATCTGATCTTTCTCGTAACAAGCGTCAAACATTTCCTGGAGGTATAGGTGGTTTAAACGGACGCTGGGACAGCGCTTACTTCCACGTTTTGCCAGGTCCACAGATTTATTACTTAGATATCCACGGCCGATGCGGCGCTCCAATAACTCGCGCGCATTTGGACATTCGGTGAAGTCTTCTGAACCGTCGAGTTCCGACACGAACCGTATGTATTCGATCCAAAAGGTATCATCGGAATCAAACTTTCCCACCAAACGCTCAAAGATGTAACGAACGATGGCGTTTCTAATATCCAAGCTGACTTCTGCGCGCTTCACTTCCTCTATGTTATATTTGTGTAACCTTTTCCACTCCCATGAAAGGTCAGTCGGCTTTGTGGTCTTTAAGTCAAAGTTGAAGTCATCCACAAGCATTTTGATAATATTACGTTCCTCCCTTGAGCAGTCCCAGGTGGTACAATGATGCTTCAATAGCACCTGCATAGATTTTTCCCCCCTTTTTTATACTGAATACTTGTTAATGAAATCTAGACTTACCCGAAACGACATCTTGTTTTCGTCTTTCTCGAGAAGCTCACGTAGCTTTTTACCGAAATCCGGTCGCTCTAAGTCGTAGTCACTGAGTAATCTGGCCCAAAGGACATGGTTCTCCTCTACGTTGCCTTTGTTCACCAGGTAAGTCACCACGAATTCGGCCAGCGCTGTATCTGGAAAAGTTTTCAATGCTATGAGTAAATAATTTCGGGTTCACATTGTATCGCATCTTACTGTATTCGACTTTCAGGGCAGTGGCGCACTTTTTCTCAAACGCCTTACGTTCCTCGGAGGTCTGGGTGACCACCAACAACATCTTGAGGTATTTTAACCAAATGTGAGCCGGAATGCCCCTATAATTGTCCATCATCTCCATAGTCCACTCAAAACGTTCAATGTCATTGAGTTTGCTGAAAGATAGGGTTATGTGTTATGTTACTTCCATATAGAATTTGAAAATGTTAAACCTACAGGGCAACGTCCGCCATTTTTTCGAAATGGTCTGTTGATTTCTTCGGCGAACAGAATAGCTTTTTGAAGGTGCGTTCTAGCTTAATTTCTTCCGAGTCCGAATCGGATTCGCTTCCGTCCTCGGACCCTATAGTATCATCAGATGATCCGTCATCAAGTTCATGGGAAACCTTTGGTTTGGCGCTTTTCCCGGAATTCTTAAATGGCTTCTCATCGGTCTCAGAGGATGAACTAATCTCAATGGTATCATCTGGCTGGGAAGATGGTTTACTACCCGATGCTACCGGCACAGGGTTCATCAGATCGAACTCATCGTCGAACTCTTCCAAGTCTTGGACCGGCATCTCGTCCAGCTCTCTCTCCAGCTCCTTTTCCAGCTGCCATAAGATTTATTAAGATTAAAGCCATTTTCGCGCTATTTCTATTTCCCCGATGCTTACCTGTCCGTCGCTGTCCATTTTGTGTGCAGTTTTCACAAAGTTTCGGATTTTCCTGGAAAATCCTAGCGTCGTTTGAATTCTGGGAAGTCAGAACCAGCATAAAAATCAGAAATGCGCATCAGGACTGGCCAAGCCACAACAGCTCGACAAATGGTATTGCAGTTTATTTCACTTGTAAGTTAATGTTCAAATGTGCTTACCCGTACCTTGAAAATTCAACTTATTTCGTTAGCTTTCGTTCTGAATAGTTGTCGAGGTCTGATGCAGCCCTCGCTAAAACTGGTGGAATTGGGTGCTGCCAGATGGTCTAATTCCCGGTGACTAAAGTACTATCGATGCAGTTATCGATAGCTATCGATAAATGAAAGTAGTCATTGCTTATACGATAAAATGATATTTAAACCTTCAGTTGAAATTTCAAAATTTGTTTTTAAATCTGAAAATATAAAATCACACCAAGCCCCAAACCTGTGAAAAAGTTTTAAATTTAAAGTCTTAGATGTACATTTTCAATTATTTCATTTTATTTCAAAATATCACGGTACATAGCCTCTCGAAAAGTTGTTAAATTCGAATTTTTTGTATAAATATTTTACATTTTATAGCTTCTTGACATTTGTTAATTTACTTGGCCTTTGTAAAGGTGTTAATAGGTACAGGTACAGATTTTTCACATAAATATGCAATTACATTTTAGTGTTTAGGCCTAAGTGTTCATAAATTCTCCTTCGTTACATAAAGTTTATATGGTTATAGGTTTAAAACCTTTAAAAGTCTATATATTTATATCAGTTCTTTAGATTTCTTTAGATTCAGTTCTTCCGAGGATTGTATATGGTCTTCTTGTCTTCATATATCGTTTTTTAATTTTGATTTTGTTTTATATATAGATCCTATTTTTTTAAATATTAAGATGCGATAGGAAAAAGCTCGAACTCGATGCAGAAGTTATCAAAGACATGTAGTTGTTTGGTCAATGGTCCAAAAGTCAACTTCAAATCGGGGCGAGTTAGCATGTCGGTAATAAGGTGTTTCTGAGACGTATCCTGGACGTGGAAGTTCAGCGGCTGGGTACGATGGCGCAAGGCTCTGTTTATGTTTAAGATCGAGGACTGGAAGAAACTCATATCGACCAGCTTTACGCTAATCATTTTCAGCTGTGGGCACAGGTATATTAGGTCCCAAAAATGATTACCAGTTCCACACATGTTCGTGCGCTTCAAATGTATAACCTCGAGGCGCTTGAAATGCTTAAGCACCTGACTATATTGCGCACGAGCCTCAGTATCATCAGTATCGGGCTGAATATCGTCAGGGCTATAGCACATCCAGAAATCGCTAAGGGTGATGGAAAGGACGTCGTGTGCCCTAGTCTCAAGCAGACTCCGCAGCGGGGCCCAGTTTTGGCCAACTTCGTTACAGCAAAAGATGCACAGCTTGGGAAGCTCGGTCAGTAGCTTTAAGGCATTCTCCTTGTTAATGTTTGTGGCCTTGATCCAGAGTTGCTCCAGATTCTTCAACGAACATATAGCTTCTACGTAGGGAGTCGCTTTCAAGGTGTACTCGTCATCGAAATCAATGGAGAGCGCTGTAATATTTTTTGCGCTATCGCATACTACCCAAAAGTTGTGCGTCGTCCAATACTCTGAGGCCTTCACAACGTGGAGATGAGTGAGGCGATTCCATTTGGAGAAGTTTCGGCCGGTGGGAGTACAATTTTCACCGTCCACAAGCAAACGCTCGATATTGGGAAAGCAATCGGCAAGTACACCAATTTCCCAGTCGATGCTTGTCCGCATTTCAAATTCATATACAATTTTCACTATTATCGTTAAGATACGAGCCTTGGAAAAAATGTGTCTACGGAACACATTTAATTGTGGTTCCCGATCATCGCCCATTGTTAGATGAACTTCTACCACAGTGGAACAAATGATCGACAAGAAGGTATTTAGAAGCTCCAAATCGGTAAAGTGGTTCAAGTCGATGTGATGGTTGGTTCGGCGCCTCCAGGAATAAGAAGTAATATCCGCCAGGCGGGTTGTTGGCTCAGTAGCTTTCCACAGACGTAACTTATCCTCCGTGTTTAAGTAATCCATAATATTGAGCAAACAATAGTTGTTGAGATCCGCCAAGTTCATCATGTACGCCAGTCAGTAACAAAATTTGAAAAAGATATTGTCCTGTTCGTTCGTGTCAGCTTTTTTTCACTAGGGATGCGCTCTTCTAGAACGCTCTTCTGCCTCTGAAGATGGGCCCTCTAAAAACTCACGAGACTATCATAAATGTAATCTCTAACAGACTAGAAACGATAATACTGTTATGAGGAGAACTTACTTAATTTGATATTTAGGAATTGTTTCTTTCTTATTTATTATAATTTTAATTGATTTTGTTTTGGAGTACTTGTTTGGAGTACCTACTTAGTTTTATATTTTAAATTTTGGAAACTTTGTAAAGAAATAACAGTGAAACCTAAGCCAAATTTTAGAAAAAAAAATTGTTCATTAATTGTAATTTTATTTGCTATATAATTATTTTTTAAGTTTATAATATTTATTATGTCTGCTAGCTTCTTCACAGGGTTGTGTTGTTTATAGCCAGGGTCCACTGCTCTGGCGTTTATGCGCACTGAATTTGGTAATGCCTGGTCACACTGCTTGCGATTCCCGCCAAAAACATTGCATACGGCGTGCAATTTTCGCTGGCGTTTTGTTTTGTGTTTACTGCTGAGCGGAAAGGAGCGCATATCCCCGAAAACTACTTTAATTACTCCATCAGCCGCTGTGTAAACTACTGTCAATAGCATCGAGATGGCCCACGACGGGGAACAGTTCATCAAGGATATTCAGCGCGAGTATGTGGACTTCTTGGACGATGAGGAGGACCAGGGCATCTATGCCGGTCACGTCAAAGACATGATAGCCGAGAAGAGCAAGCGTCTGATCGTGAACGTCAACGATCTGAAGCGCAAGAATCCGCAACGGGCTCTGGGCCTCCTGAGCAGTGCCGCGGACGAGCAGCTGGCCTTCGGCCGGGCCCTCAAAGAGTACGCCTCCACGGTGGACCCCAGCTATGCCAAACTGCACGAAGATCTGTTCGTGGGCTTTGAGGGGTGCTTCGGCAACCGCCACGTTACTCCCCGATCCCTCACTTCGATCTACTTGGGCAACATGGTCTGTGTGGAGGGTATCGTCACGAAGGTGTCCCTCATCCGGCCCAAAGTGGTGCGCAGCGTCCACTACTGTCCCACCACCAAGAAGGTTATGGAACGCAAGTACACAGATCTTACTTCCTTTGAAGCCGTGCCCTCAGGCGCCGCGTATCCCACCAAGGACGAAGATGGCAATCTGCTGGAAACTGAGTTTGGCCTGTCGGTCTACAAAGATCACCAGACGCTAACCATACAGGAGATGCCGGAGAAGGCTCCGGCGGGACAGCTGCCGCGTTCCGTGGACATTGTTTGCGACGACGATCTCGTGGATCGGTGCAAGCCCGGCGATCGGGTCCAGATCGTAGGTAGCTACCGCTGCTTGCCGGGCAAACGAGGCGGTTACACTTCAGGCACCTTCAAGACCGTGCTCCTGGCCAACAACATATCGCTGCTGAGCAAGGAGAGCAACCTGGACATCTCGCGCGAAGACATTATGCTCTGCAAGAAGCTGGCCAAGAACAACGACATCTTCGAGCTCCTCAGCAAGAGCCTGGCGCCCTCGATCCACGGCCATGCCTATGTGAAGCAGGCCATTCTGTGCCTGTTGCTCGGCGGCGTGGAGAAGCTCCTGCCCAATGGCACTAGGCTGCGTGGCGACATTAATGTGCTCCTCATCGGCGATCCCTCGGTGGCCAAGTCCCAGCTGCTGCGCTACGTGCTGAACACGGCTCCGAGGGCGATTCCCACCACGGGCCGCGGCTCCAGCGGTGTGGGTCTGACGGCGGCCGTCACGACGGATCAGGAGACGGGTGAGCGACGCCTGGAGGCGGGCGCTATGGTCCTGGCCGATCGGGGCGTAGTCTGCATCGATGAGTTCGACAAGATGAGCGACATCGACCGCACAGCCATTCACGAGGTGATGGAACAGGGCAGGGTGACCATTTCCAAGGCCGGCATCCATGCCTCTTTGAATGCGCGCTGCTCGGTGTTGGCCGCCGCCAATCCTGTCTACGGCAGGGTAAGTTTTCTCATAAAAATCTCTCCCAGAATACTTAGCAACTCCTCTCTGGTTATCCCCTTCAGTATGATCAGTACAAGACCCCCATGGAGAACATTGGTCTGCAGGACTCGCTGCTCTCCCGTTTCGATCTACTTTTCGTGATGCTGGACGTGATCGACAGCGATGTGGACCAGAAGATTTCGGACCATGTGGTGCGCATGCACCGCTACCGCAATCCCAAGGAGGCCGACGGCGAGCCCCTGTCCATGGGCAGTTCCTATGCCGATTCCCTGGCCTTTGTGTCCCGAAACGAGGAGGTAAGTCCCTTGGATAAGGTTCCTCCTCCTTCAGAAATAACCTGAAATGGTGTCCTCTTCCCCAACAGAAAAAAGACACGGAGGTTTATGAGAAATATGATGCCTTGCTGCATGGAAAGTCCCGGCAGCGCCACGAGAAGATTCTGTCCGTGGAGTTCATGCGCAAGTACATCCACATTGCCAAGTGCATGAAGCCCAAGTTGGGGGAGCAGGCCTGCGAGGCGATTGCCAACGAGTACTCCCGCCTCCGTTCGCAGGAGGCCCTGGAAACCGACGTGGCTCGCACCCAGCCCATCACGGCCCGTACTCTGGAGACCCTGATCCGTTTGTCGACGGCCCATGCCCGCGCCAGGATGTCCAAGTCGGTGACCATCGACGACGCCCAGGCAGCCATCGAACTGGTGCAGTTCGCCTACTTCAAGAAGGTCCTGGAGAAGGAGCGCGGAAAGCGCCGTCGCAACAGTGGCTCCTCCGACGAGGAGGACGGCCAGACCACCGCCACCCAGAGGTCGCCGTCGCGTCGCACCAAGAGGACTCGCACCGAAGCGGCTGGCGTCGACAGTGACGAGGAGGAGATCGAGACCCCGCAGCCGGATGCCGGGGATCTGACGCGCCGCGAGACCCGCCGCTCTCTGCCGGCCACTGGACGCTCGGCTGGCTCCCAGCTGGCGACCTCAAGCGAGGAGCAATCGACACCATCGGCCGGTCCGGCCACCATCACCGACGCCCGTCTGGGCGCCTTCAAGAACGGATTGCAGCGCCTGTTCCGCGATGCTCGCGAGCAGAGCCTGGCCCTGGCCAGGATCACCACCGCCATCAACGAGGGCAATGTGGAGCCATTCAGCGGCGGCGAGATCGAGGCGGCCGTCCACCGTATGACCGAGGACAACCAGATCATGGTGGCCGACGACATCGTCTTTCTCATTTAAGATCCTCACATTCCGGAAACTCTCCAGTTCTTCATCCTCATCGTGCACCGGAAACCTATATTTTGATGCTCTCATGTAGCGGTTAAGTTGTATTTTTGTTTCTATTTATATGATAATAAACACTTTCGAACTACCATTGGCCAAATAATTATCCTTCGTCCTTGATTCCCATCTCCAGGATGAAATCCATCGCTTCAGTTTATGGTTTACTTATATTTGAGACAGTCGTAGACACAAAAATAGGATTAGAACAAATACATAATTCAAATATTGGAACAGAACTGGCCTTGGATCGCAAGGATAATCCATGGTTGATAAAAGGATATTTTAGCATCACATTTGTGGCGAATGGGAATTCGTAGCTTGAACCCGTATCAAGATATATCGATGTGGTTATAAGGTAGAGTTGCCTATTTGAGATAGTCAAAGGACATGAGCATTTTCGTGGGGATCTACTACAAGATTTTGGAATAAAATATGAATTATAGTTAATACTTGGCTTTCGCTAACATCTGATGCTGTAACTATCCATAAATATTACAATTAAACTAGACACGGCTAAATACAGCGACTAATCTCTTGGTAAAACTTATGTACAAAGGACCTCGCCACACAGACTGACAGGACACACACACACACTCACACAGACACACACTGAATAACAGACAGACCCCGGCAGGGGGAGGGGATCAGAGCCAGGATCAGAGGTTCACCACATTCTTGAGATCCGGCGGCAGCAGACCCTTCATGCATTCGATTTGGGCCCTGATCTGCTGCTGGGTGCCATTCGGTCCTCCGCCTTCCAGCGCGGCAGCCTTGTCGCTATAGAGATTCAGTTTCTGCTTGAGCTTCAGTATCATGTCGATGATCTCAACCTCCTGCTTGTCGTGCGCCCAGTGCTCCAGGTTCGCCTCGGAGAGGGCCTGCAGCTGGAGGTCCTGAAGCGTCAGCTGCAGCTCCCGGTGGCGCGCCTCGTACCATCCCCGGAAGTTGGGTGAGCGGAAGAAGCGGCGGTACAAGCCCTTCCAGTCGCCCTTCAACGGTGACGTTAGCTGCGGCCCGGCAGTCTCCAACGTGGCCAGGAAGTCGTCCAGCTTGAAGCTGCTGGCGTTGGGCGCCGATTTGAACGGACTAATGTCCTTTTGGAGTGGCATCAGCGAGGCCATGTACCGCTCCAGCGGAATCATAAAGCTCTGGGTCAGCTCCAGCAGATTGCGGCGTATGAGGGCGGTCTGGACGTGCTCCGGTCGTTTGGTTTTCATGCCCAGCAGCACCTTCTTGATCAGGGACTTGTCCTTTTTCAGGTAAGGCTTGTACTTGCTGTGCAGTCCGGCGGCGGAGCTGTCCCCTGTTCCGCCGATGCCACCGCTTCCGTTGGAGCCGCCTGAGACACCTCCTCCGTTCAATCCCGCGCTGGACTTGGCGGCTCTGGCAACCAGGTCTCCGGCTGCTCCCGACGAACTGGAGAACGAGGTGGCCGAGGCTATGCTTCGAGCGTGCTTCTGGCTGAGCAGCAAATGCTGTTGTTGTTGCATGTTTTTCTGAAAAAGAGCGAGACGGGTGATGGTGAGTGAAAGGGATGCCATACAGCATGTATACCTTACCTGGTTGTCCACCAACCGCAGCATGTGCGGCCAGTCCTTGAGGAGCTTCACAAAGAATGGATTCGTAACTCCGAGAATGCAGGCAGGCAGCGATTTGGCGTTGGAGCACTCCTGGGTGAACTCGCGGAACTCGCTGTCGTGGATCGTGAAGTAGGGTCGCGCCTCAGCGCAATACTCCAGGGGGGCTATCAGCGCCAGGAGCGACTGAACCATGTAGGAGCAGTCGGCGGGCGAGGTGCCCACCACGACAATGGGCTCGCCGGTAATCACCAGCTCCCAGAGCGTGTACAGCTGCTCCATGACAAAGTCCATGGAGCGGAAGAGCTCGATTTCGTTGACGGAGGGCAGGACCTTTTGCAGTCCAGCCGGAAGCTGGGGTTCGGCTGGTGATCCCGTCGATGGTTCGGTGGTAGTGGTTGCATTAGTCTTCCTGCTGGTCGTCGCCCTGGGAATGCTGATCTGGTAGCAGCAGTTGAGGAGCGGCAACTGCAGGAGACTGCCCACTCTGAGGCCGGGCCACTGGCTGTTTATTTGCTCGCTGATCAGTCGGATGGCGTCAATGCCTTCCTCGAAGTAGCGCGGCGCCAACTGGTTCAGTATGTCGTAGTAGAGATTAAAGAACGGCAGCCGTGTTATGATGATAAAGCTCTTCTGAAAGTATCCACGCGGCAGATTGGGGTCCCGCTTTTGGCGAAAGTAGACGAAGCCCCAGAAGTGCGACGCATCCTGGCGCAGTGCGGGCGAGCACTCCGCATTGTATCCTTGCAAGGATTCCTGTCTGCGAGTGCATCGCAGGCGCATGTGAAACTTGGTGTCGCCCATGCAGCCGGAGTTGGAGTCCGGGAAGGCCATGTAGCAGATGTTGCTCACCTCCTGGTCGGTGGGCATAAACTCGGCGGGATACACGTGCTCCAGAGCCTGCCCAAGGTTCAAATCGAAGGTAACCACGCAGAAGCAGTGAATCCACTGCGAGAAATTCACCCAATCGGTGACGCTTGGCTGGGAATTCGAATTGCATTTGTCCGTCTCCTTGTCCGCCTCGGATGCCCCTCGATCTCCAGCTTCTCGCGAATCCATGTCCTTGATCCTGGCATCCGCGCTCATCATAGGTTGTTGATATTTACAAATATATTCTACATTTACAACAGTGCAATGGCAATTAGGGATGTGCGATAGCTGCTACCTGTTATCAGTTACCTGTCACGAACCCAAAGCGCGCGCCAGACACAACTTTTGATTATTTATTCGGAAAATATTTTAAATTTAACATCACATTTGGTATGTAAGTTAATATTTTAAATAAATAATTGTTTCAAAATTGGCCATATATATGCGTTGATCCATATTTTTTATAGGGAGTGGTTATGTTTTTGATTATTTAAATCACAGATAGTGAGAAAGCATTGCTCATCTCTGTTATGAGGAATTATCATATCAAAACTTTCCCTTCTTGTTTTTATTTTGCACTTTCGCTGGGGACTGCCAACTTAGTTTGCAAGAGCTACCAGATTGGCAACTATCGATAAATATGGAATGCCAACTCAGTTTTTGAGGTTACCGGAGTCTTAAAACCATCGATAACAGCGATGGACAACCATCAGGAGGAAAGTTGCCAGATGGATCAAGCTATTGATAAACCGTGTAAGGCCAAGACTAGTGATGGTCAAGATATGATAACAATATTTGGTTATTTAAAAAAAGTATTAAATAAAAAGAATTAATTTAACAACCCTGACGCCATATGAACTTGATACACATTCATACTCATATAAAAGAATAATTTAGTTAGCTGTTAGCTATTATTGTCCTCCCTTTTAAGCAAAAACGACAGTAAAATCAGCGTCATTTCGCGCCGAAAAGAGCGGCATCTGTTTGTTATTGTTTGATGAAATTGCGAAATGCCAATTGCTGTTTTTAAATCCGTTCGCGAAGTTAGCAGCGAAGATTCGGTATAACCCACACATCAGAGAACCCTTGAATTAGTTGATTATCCTCTTGCAATTTTAGGTGCACTCTGCGGAGAACCTGCTTAAGGAAAATGCCGGCAAAAAGTGGCGCATCAAGTCCAGTGGCGAGAAGTCCGCCTATGTCATACTGGAATTCCAGGAGGCTCAGCAAATTACGGGCATTGATATTGGCAACGAGCACTCCGCCTTCATAGACGCAAAGGTCAGTCGGACTATGGCTTCGGACGATTTTAAGGAATTGTTGCTCTCCAGCTCATTCATGACCCCGATCGAGAGCAAAAACTCCAGCAACCAGAACCGGGTACGCTGCTTTGGCGCCTCTGCCCTGAACGAGGACGCTCTCAAGGAGAAGTGGACGCTACTGAAGATTACCTGCACGCAGCCGTTCAACCGTCACGTCCAGTATGGTATCTCTTTTGTCAAAGTTCATGTGGTGGCTGCTCCAACAACGAATACTTCTGCTGCGGCTGCTCCCAAAGTGAAGTCATTGCTTCCAGAAAAACTCATGACGTTTGGTGGTTTTAAGTTGCGTGAAGATTCGCCCGACTCTGAGTCTGATTCTACGCAGTTGTCGCGATTCCAGCGCTGGAAGAAGGAATCACATCAGCAGAGTCCAGCTGCCACCACAGCAGCTGCCATCCGAGATGCGGGATCTTCCGCATTGAGAAGATTAAGCAATGGTATAGCCGGAACATCCAGTGGCGCGTCCACAACATCACCCGCTGCCGCTTTTGGACGCTCTGGAACTGATTCGCCGCCTGTCTCGGACGCTAAGCGCTTGGATCGCAATCGAGAGTCCCTGCTGTTCGGTGAGGAAGACGAGGACGAGTCCTTGGGAGAAATCAGCGCCAAGAAACGGCGCTTGAGCAAACAGCTGGAGGCGGACAAGGACAGGCGACGAATCGAGCAGGAAAAAGAGAAGGAGCACAAAAGTAGCAAGTCGAAGAGGCTTTCCCTGGATAGGTCCTCTTCTAAAGAAGCCAACCACACTAAAAAAGAAGATAGATCTTCGTCCAAGGAAGACAAAACTGCCAAGAAAGAGGACCACTCTTCGTCCAAAGAAGTTAGAACTTCAGAAAAGGAGGATAAACCATCTAGGAAGGTTGAAAAAGCTGGACAGAACAAATCTCATGATGTCTCCACAACTAAAGTCAAAGAAAGTCCACGGCCATCCACCCAGAAGCGCCATTCATCGCCTTCTGGACGAGCTGCCACGCCAGCCAAGAAGCAAAAAGTCCTTAACGATACCATTCAATATCGTCCATTCAATCAATTGCTAAGAGGAGTGGTCCTGGTGATCAGCGGAATTCAGGAAACTATTATTTTGGAATGATTTATTGGCTAATACTTAACTGACACTCTGTTTTCCCACAGAACCCCGATCGTGCTGACCTACGTTCGAAAGCAACCTCTATGGGCGCGAAATACAAAGCCGACTGGGAGCCAGGATGCACTCATTTGATGTGAGACCCTACATATGGCTTCTAGATTCTCTTGATCCAAAGATTTCATTCTATTCTAGTTGTGCCTTCAAGAACACCCCGAAATACAACCAAGTCAAGGGAAAGGGAAAGATTGTGACACGCAGCTGGCTTGAAAAGTGTCATTCCCTCAAGAAGTATCTACCCTGGCGACGATATGCCCTGGACACGGCCGATCTTGGCCAGCCGGAGAGCGATGAGGAGTTGTGCGATGAGACGATGAAGCCACGTCGTGAGTCCAGCGATGCTGATGATGTGGTTGTGGTAAACGAGGATAGGAAGATGGAGGTCACCTATGATGGGGATAAGAAGGATGTGGGACAGGAGGCATCGTCTGGAATCGATACTGAAGATGAACTGGAAAAGGTGGCGCAAAGTAAGGTTCTTTTTATTCAAGTTTTTCTCCTTTTATAAAAAATCTTTTAAAAATTTAGAAAATTCTGAAAATAAAAAGAAAAGAGTCAAGAGTCCAGTTATGACGAAGTCCGACGATATATACGATGCCAGTACCGATGAGGAGGATTATTTGGCGGAAAAAAAGAAGCAGATTGTAGTCCTCGACTGAGTTCCTCGAAATATTTTTAAATTAAGTATAAATATTTAAATTGTTTGTAAGTTGTTTTTCAAATTCTTGTTAGTTATATATTTTTTTTTGGAATAAAACTAAAAGTAGGATTTCGAAAAGGCAGCTGTCTTTAACCCAAAAAGTAGGCTTACATTTTCAGCTGTTTTGAAGAACGTTTTCGAGAACTGCAAACTGTAATTAGTGCTGGCAACGCTGCGCTTTGGACAATAACGGTAAAACCAACCCCCTGGAAAACAGGTGGCAAGCAACAGCTGGCTGCTTCTGACAGTTCCACTCTCTTTTTCTCTCTCATTTTCGTAGCTTTTGGGCGCCCCGACTCGCTCGCACACGCATCCCTGTGCCTGGCGGACAAAAAGAACCCTCTTCGGGCCTCTCGCACGGACCCTGGCTAACGGTGAAAAACTCTCTCCCGTCCAGGCAGCAGTCGTGTGTTTGCTGTCGAGCGAAAAAGAGAGCCTCATTGGGAGTTTTTTCGAATCGAATCGCAACTGGATTGTTTATTTATGGTAAATATATCCAACACCCAGAATCCCCATCAATGGTATAGCCGAGTGCTATCCGAGATTCTGGGGATTGTAGTTTCCAAATCCTTGGTAATCCCTCTCAAGTCCCCCAGTACTCCAGTACTTGGCCGGAGCGGAAGAGAGACGGGAAACGGAAATGAAAATCCCAGTCGAATTGGAAAATCGATACAATCGAGCTATAATTAAAAATATGCTGATTACTTTCAAACTTGTTTCCTTTTTTAAGCACTTGGATTAGTAAGTGGACTGAGTGCTACAGGATCTGAAGGCCAAGAGAAGTGAGGTATATATTCTATCCCTGTACCAAGCCATCCATCACCCACAACCCACCCACTCCCCACAACATGGGAATACATTTTAATAGAATTCTCTTTACAGATCGAAAAAGGTTCCATTTATCAAGTTTGAGACCTAGACCTTAACAAGATGGGTAACGAGACCTCCCTGCCCATGGACATGTGCTCCAACTTCGATGCCGACGAGATCCGACGTCTGGGCAAGCGTTTCCGCAAGCTGGATCTGGACAACTCGGGGGCCCTGAGCATAGACGAGTTCATGTCCCTGCCGGAGCTGCAGCAGAATCCCCTCGTCCAGCGGGTGATCGACATCTTTGATGCTGATGGCAACGGCGAGGTGGACTTCAAGGAGTTCATCCAGGGCGTCTCCCAGTTCAGTGTTCGCGGCGACAAGCTGTCGAAGTTGCGTTTTGCATTCCGCATCTATGACATGGACAATGACGGCTACATTTCCAACGGGGAGCTGTTCCAGGTCCTCAAAATGATGGTCGGCAACAACCTGAAGGACACCCAGCTGCAGCAGATCGTGGACAAGACCATCTGCTTCGCCGACAAGGACGAGGACGGAAAGATATCGTTCGACGAGTTCTGCTCGGTGGTCGGCAACACGGACATCCACAAGAAGATGGTGGTCGATGTCTAAGGACGGTCGGAATTCCGAATTTGAAACTCTGAATGTGCGTGTACCTTCCGTTCAACCTGTTCAGCTTTATATACATTTAGTAAATACATATAGTAAATGGATCCCGTGTATGTATGTATGTCTGTCTGCGGTCTGTGGTGCCAAAGCCAAAATCCAGAATCCAGAATACAGAAACCACAAAAGGAATATATTGTCTATTGGATGTAGTTTGTACTCATATTCGAAACCACCGGCAACGGACCACTACAAGAGCATACCCCTCGCGTCCCCCATTCCTCCCGCATGCGCCGGCCCTGATAAGTATGCTATAGATGACTTAAGATTGAGGACATCATCCTAAACTAACTCTAGTTTGTACTATATCCTAACTCTACGTTCAGTTTAAGTTCATCTTTCGACTAAATGTTGTGTATAAGATATATTGTATGTAAAAAATCTAAAGAAAAGAAATCTACAACAACTACAAATTAAAGAAATGTTTATCGAAAAAGCAAAAGGCATTCAACATTTTTGGGGCTGGGCTTGGTGGATCTACAATGTCCTCGAACGCACTTGGCCACGCAGTCCTTGGGTCCTTGAGTCCCTTAGTCCTTTAGGCGTTTGGTAACACGTGCGTGTCTCTCAGCTCGTCTCCCAGAGCTTCCGAAATCCCCTCCCCCCCAACAAAAAAACAATAAAGAACAAACCCTCGACAAAAAAAAACCACGAGGCGGCCAACGCAACCAAAAACTTTTTGGCCGTTGGCAACGATTAACTGTTTTGTAGGTCACCGATTTTCCAACTGTCAGGGTGTGTGTTAACGCGCGTGCATGTCCATGTGTGTGTGTGGTTTCCCCTGTGAGGTGTCATACAGGTGAAGAAATTATTAGGGGGTTTTATGGCACTATAGGATTACAAATACCAAGTTCTTTCTAGTGGTAGATTTTTTTTAGAGTTTTTGAAACTTTATCATATAATTTGGACTGGAAAATCACTTGAATTTATGACGATTATCCGAATATATTTCTCAAAACCTAAATATTACGAATACGTATACGTTAAAAACACATTTTTAAAGATAATACCTAAGCCTTTATAGCTTAAATCATAAACCAAAAAATTAAAAATAAAATAAACCCAAAAATTGAGCCACTTTTTTTTAATATTAAGTATACGCAATGTGGTCTTTTAAAAACAGACTTGGCTTTTAATTTAAAATTAGTTATAAACAATAATAATATAATTAAACTATAATCCACAACTCTAGAACTTCCAATCCTACTCAGATATCAAGTATACGCCAAGTAGCCTACTCAAATATTACGTATACGCCTCATAGCCTCATAATACTTTTTCAAAATGATCTCTAAGGTTTCTTTCAGTGCCAACAGGAAGCCAGCAAACTAAAAAACTAAAAAAAAAAAAACAACTAGCTTCTAGGTTCCGTGGAGAACTTGTACGGCAACAGAGCCTTGACCAAGGACCTCGTAGTGCCTGCCAAAGTCCCCAGGGGCGGCCATAGTGTGAGTGTGTGTGTGTGTGTGTGTGGGTGTTAGAGAGAGTGTGTGTGTGCTTGGTATCAATAAATTATTATATGCTGTCTGTCGCAAGCTGGTTCGTTAATCATTTTCGCCTAGGCCCTGCCCCTTGAACTCCTACACATGCCAGCCCCCTTGCTACCGAAGCCCAATAACGGTATTTCCATTTTGAAAATTAGTAGGGTTAATACCGGGGTTACCTGCCTACCTGCCGGTGTCTAATTCCGCCCCCGATTTTCACCCCCTAACCCACCTTTCTATCAAAGGCGCTCCTGTTGCTGCGTCACAAGGTGGCTTCGGCATCGGCATCGGGACATCGGTTTTGACCTTTTTCGGTTTTCGGTTTTCGGCTTTTTGGTATTAATTGTTTTGATTAATGTGCTCCAATTTTCGGATGGTACGTAACAGCGCCGGGCCCCAAATAATCGGGCATTTTGCCTTTCCGACTCTCGTCTATCATTTTCCAATTCCCGGCCGGAAGGAGGCGCCAGGCCCAGACAGGCAGGACTAATTTCCATCGAACCATGGATCGGATCCATCCGACAGAACAAAACTAGATGTCAAAATCCATTGTCAAGCCATAAAATATATTGGCCATAATAGAGTAATAATGCCCGTATATTTTAATATCTTTTAGCATCTTCTTTTATTGATTTCTTTTTGGGTATTTTTAGTTTTAGTTTCGGTTCGAGCCTAGAAACTTATTTCGCTTCAATGGAAACTATTTAGACCGAAAGAGGCCTTTTTTTTATAAATTATGTATAACAATTTTTCCCAATTTTAATGGGCTGTTGAGCAGAAGGGATATAACGGGCGGGGTGGGGCGGTACGGGGAGTGGCCACCACACAAATCAATATACGTTTTATTTATTTATTTATTGTTTTTTTTTTTGGTTTTTTTTTTGGTAATGAAATTCAGACAGGTTGGGGATATCATATAACCTCAAAACGAACAAAAATTGTCAGCTTTTATATTCAGTAGGCCGGAATCTCGGGGCTCACCGGAGCTCTCCAGATCCCCGCTCCAGAGCCTTCGAGAGCCCCTGGCTTTGGCATTAGTTTCCGACCGATCCCCCCCTCCCAGCCCCCGGCGCGAGTAAAAGCTTTTTAGTTTATTCTGTTTTTCTGTTTTCTTTGTGGGTTGTTGTGTTTTCGCAATAATAATCGCGGCATTAAGTCAAAAGCGGGCCTGCAAAAACAAATGCCAAATCAATGTCCATGTGTGTGTCTCCAAGGCAGTGGCGTGGCCCTGCAGGGGGATGCTAGCTTAATTATAATTAATTAATTATTTCATTTCCATGCAGAGTATCTCCATATTTGTGTAAAAAGAGGACGAATCCTTGATCTTTAAGGGGGCACTCTGAAAAAAAAAAAACAAAAGTTATCAGACATTTCGAAAATGTAATTAAAGTTCTGAATTAAAATGCTCAGAGGGGGGGTTGGCGGGAGTCTCCCGCGTACGCCTCTGCGTGTGTGTGTGTGTGTGTACGGTTGAGTGGCATGTGTGTGTATTGTGCGATAAAAGTTGACTCGTGCCAGTTTCGAGCTGTAACCGAAAACGCATACAAAACAAAAAGCGCCAAAAAGGAGGGGGTGGTAGGTGACAAAGAGCGGTGGACCTCCAAAGGGGGTGGTGCAGGGCGGAAGGTGTGGTGTGGGCAGCGGGAGCCAAATACAATGTGAATGGGAATTACAAAAACAAGCATCAACAACCACCGTTAGCACCACTCTCCTTTTGCCCTTTTCTCTCCTCCGTGTCCTCGTCCTCTCTCCCGCTCTTGCTCGCTCTCTGTGGGTTCGCCCATCTGTTACCGCCCACAGGACCATAAATTCACCATTACCACGCAGCTACCTCAACACTGCAGCCCTATTCCCACAATTCCCGCTTACCAATTCCCCCCAACCACCATCCCTCGTCCTTATTAAAGAGGTGGCAACTAGCAAACGCCGGTGACGCAACGGAACTCTGGCAGACCGATTCCGATTCCGATTCGGAACCCGATTCCGTAGCCAGGACCTGACCCACTAACCCTTCAAAAAAAGAGGCCACAAATTCCAGGTTCCAAATGGAATGCTCACTTTAAAATAAATTCTATAAGAAATTCTCAAATTGTTTCTGAATAATTGGTTTTGAAAAATTCTCTTTTTTGAAAATAAGTTTTTGAAAATCCAAGATGTCTGACCCCAAGCAGGGTCTACCGTTAGTCGTTCCCTATTCCCGATTCCCGATTCAGTTGCATGCATTAAGCGAAGTGCCTTGTGTTATGTTTTTCTTTTCGTTTTTCGGCCCAGTGGTGTAGTCCAGAGGGGTCCCTACAACATCACTCATACGACATGTTGGCTTGACTTTTTTTTTATAATTTTAATTAATGAAATAAAAGCTCAAAAACGGATATTAATAGTTTTTTAGGCTTAGTTTTAAGTGAAATTTGATATATCTTGAAAATCAATGCTAAAAATAAACGTTAATAAACAGTAGCATACCTTTGCGGGTTACTTGGGAAACCCAAAACCCGAAACCGGGCTTCAGCCTCGGCCCGTCTCCCCCCTTTTTGGAGCCGAAAAAGCCAGCCACCGCCACCGCTGCTTTGGGAGCGAAAGAAATGCCGGAGAGCGGTGGGCAAAAGGGAGAGAGACCGACTAACCGACCGACTGCCGAAGCAGCAGCAGCAGCAGTAGCAGCACCAGCAGAAGCAGCAGCAGAGGCAGCAAGCAGCAGGCAGCAAGCAGCAGGCAGGCAGGCAGCAACGCTGCTATATACACGGTGCCGAGCAACAAATTGAGTCAGTATCGCACAAACAACACTAACGGAAACATCAACGTGAAAGCGACGAGACCGAGACGGACGCCCTCCGTCCGTGTTTTGTGTCTGTCTGTGCCTGTGCCTGTGCCTGTGTCTGTCTGTCTGTGTGTTGAGTTGAGTTCAGTTCAGTGTTCACTTTAGTCGCGCTCTCCAAAAGAACTTTAATCAGCAGTTACCAACTACACACACACACCACACACACGCACTCACGCACTCCAACACACACATGACACACACGCACTCGTACACACAGGAACGCATATAAGGTGGAAAACAATAATACAAGAAAGAAGAAGCGCAGCCAAGAGCTCGGCATCAGGATCAGCGCGGAGAGAGCGGCTTTTGAGTGTTAGGATCGCAGAGGATAGAGAGCGAGATAGCGGGCAAAAGAGGAAAGGAGGAAAGGAGGCAGAAAGCCGAGGACTCTGCGAGCGCCCGAGGGCGGTGAGCAAAGTTTGACGTTTGCTAACTGCAATCGGCACTTAGCACTTTTGAAAAGTTTGCCAACTCTCCCTCGGGCTATCAATAAAATCATCCCAAGCAACATAGCAGGACAGGCTATATTAATAGACAGGGGCAAACATCACAAAAAAAAAAAAACAGAAAAACCAGAAAGTAAAAAACTGCAAAAAAAAATGCATAAAAAAGCGTAAAGGAAGGCATCGAGAGCAGCGGAGTCGCCGTCGTCATATGCGTCGTGGGTGTCGTACAACGTACATATCGTATATATAGATGCATATTCCCATCTATATATAAAAATAAACATAAAAAATACATCTTTTTTTTTTCTTGTTATTCTATAGTTAATAAATAGTTTTTGTGCAAGAAAAAAAAAAAAAAAAGCAAAAAATACAAAAAAAAAAAAAAGCGCCCAAGGCGGCCAATGGAAATGCCAAAGAAAAAGCAACAAAATTTACAACGACACCAGCAGCAACAACAACAACAACAACAACTGAAACAGCAACAACAACAGCGAAATCAACAAAGGAAGAAGAAGCAAACATTGCAGTTTCCCGATACATAAGTCCACCGATACCGTTCCGTATACGCCCCGTTGTACCCCATTCCCGTTTTCCATTCCCCAGAAAGAAATTCCGATTTTTGCGGTACGTCTTTGTCGCGCGCGTTCTTACACACACACATACACTAAAACAGCCAAAGACACAGACACACACACACGCAGAGTTACACACATGCAAGTGCATAAATGGCAATATGGACGAGCACCAGCAGCAGCATTTGCGTTGTATACCAGCACAGTGACACGCGCGTGCCAAATATTGCCGATTTTATCAGGCGAGCGACACCAACAACGGCTAAGGCTATTAACTAAAGGGGCACCAACAACAACAACAGTAGCAACAACAACAATAGTTACAACGAAAATTGCTGGAAGGCGCCGCAAAATATCAAAGTGGGTACCACTACTATAACTACTAACACTACCACTAATACCGAAAGCATATCAACACTATCAACGCAAGATAGCCCACAACCCACACCCAAACACACACATACACTATATATGCACTCCTTAAATGCACCGCTACAAACAACAACAACAACAACAAGAAGAACAACACAACATTCGCAAACTACAATAGCGCCCCCCGCACAAACCAGCATTCCAACACGAACTACAATAACTGTAACCAAAGTGCAAGCAGCCAAGGGAGGCGGGGGGAGAACAATGGGAGAAATAACAGGACCTGGGGAGTGGGAGATAGAGAGAGAGAGAGAGAGTGGTGTGAATGCTAAATGAGTTATGTGTGCACATTCCTCACGAGCAAGGAGAGGAGTCAGCAGGAGCAGCTGCATTTGGCACGCAGAGAGAGAAAAGTCCCGTTAAAGCCGAGAGATCAGGCGACTGGAAAACGGGACTAATTAGAAACTTAACAAACAGGAGGATTGAAGGAAAGGGCACGAAAAAGGACAAAAAGCCAATGACATTTCGAAAAAAAAAACGAATTTAATTAAAAAAAAAAAGGTTTAAGGTTATGATAGACTTGGAAATAAATTCTAGAAGAATTCTTGAGATCCGTTTTGCACCGTGCACTATGCCGAGTATATGCAGATTAGAGCAAGTTGGGTGAGCAACCAAAAACCGCAAAACCGCAAGACCGCAGGAACAAGAGCCCTGTTCCAGTAGCGCCAGTTACAGGAGCTTTCAAGTGCTGTGCAATCAAAGGCAGACCCTGAGACCAGGACGCCAAAGCACCAAGAAAAGGCCCTACATCGTCATGGCTCATGCCTCGTGCCTCATTCCTCATGCCTCATTCCTCATCCTTTATGCTTTATGGTCGAACCCTCAACCTTTTCCAAACAGATGCCGATGACATGCTGCGGTCATGCAAATGCATAAGGATTAGAGTCCTCGAAAACGGAATATGAGATTTTCGTTGGCCCCCCACTCCCATCAGTCAAACAATGAATTCTCCGCTCCACCTCTAGAGAGACCTCCCCCATCCCCTCCCCCGACGCACATGGAAAATTCATGAAGAACCAAATTGAGTTTGTGGTCGAACCCCAGAAGCATACGACACACACATAACTAAAAATAAATTATTGAGTGAGCGATATGCCGACACTTTAAGACCCTTCGGGGACTTGAACTTTAAACTAAAACCCGAATGCCTCAAATTCTGGAACAATTAACCGAATGGGGTTGGTAATTAAATGCCAAAAGTTTAGTCATTACACTGACTCTGGTTGGCTAGAAGCTATGTACCTGCCGAAAGTGGGTTAATTATGGTACAAAAAAATGAGTCAAACTATTTCTGGACACCACACTAAAAGCTAAATGATTTATTATCGAGTGGATTAGATGGAAATCCCAAGAAATGTCTTTGATCTAGCTCTAGTAGAGTCTAGTAGGAGGAATTCTAGAATTCTAGTTAACAGCACTTTTAACGATTCCTTAACACTAAAACATTGTTAATTACCCATGCACCATCGCCAAGTTTTTATTGTAAATAATCATTAAAGGCCCGAAACAAAAATCCTCCACTCACCATTGTAAATAGAATGTCAATTGTGTTTATTTTCCAACCCATTGAAAGAAATAAAACAGAATATATAGACCTAAACACACACAAAATATACATTTTTTTGCACTTTTTTTTCCTCCTCCCAAGTAGCCACAAGATTTTTTTGCAAATCATTTGCATTCGTCTGGATGTCGTCGCTTTCGCTTTCTATATATATATTTTAGTATATATATCTAGTATATAGTATAGTATGCACTTGTCTGGGGGGGAGCGATCGTCTGGCATAGGAATTTGCCAGAAATAGATCCGATTCCCCAGAAGGCACATGCAGCTCCATATTTTGAAGTGGTCCCATCCTAATGGAAAACTCTATTGACAGCTTCTGATCGAATCTGGATTTATTTCGTTAATCTTTTGAATTTTAAATGTCGGCAGAAACCCCCCACCCTCTAGAGAGCCCATCGCGAATGGTTAATGACCAGAAAAGCGAGCAAAGTGAGCGTAATTAATGGAAACTGTAATCAATCATGCGCTCCAATTAACCGGAGCCCATCCTCCAGCCCATCCAATATCTCGAGAGTAAGACTATATAGCTGATATACTATATAAAATATATATACTGTCTGAATGCTAATGGCAGTGATGGGACTTGGGGTTTGGGGCAGGGCCACCCCGTAATGACACAAAGTGCTCCTTCTCCTGTTCGGTGTACATTTCAAAACTCATTACGATTCACTCACTCACTCAAAGTCTGAAAGTGAGTCAGTATGGGTGTGTGGGTGTTTGGGAGTGGGTGTGGGTGCGGGTGTGGGTGGGGCGGTGAGGGGGTGGACATCGTCGGAGACGAAGGACAGGCATATGTTCTGTGGTCATAGCCTTACGAGTCATCATTTCTGATTTCTTAATTTGTTTTCGTTTAATGTTTTTTTTTTCATATTTTGAAAAGTCTTTACTTTGAAATTGTATATTTGCATGTATGTTTCTCAAAGTTTTCAAAGGTCAATGACCCGATGACATAAATAAAATGAAAATTTAGTTGAAAACTCAACAGAAACGTGTATAAAAGCATCTTTGAAACTTAGATTGAAGGTGCAATCCTCATTAGAGTCTTCTATAAAGAAGATATAAGCTTATTTTCTTGTCTATTGCCTATCGATAATTATCGATAACCAATTATGGTGTATATCAAACAGTCTTAGAAGTTTGAAATGGCATAGAAAAGAGAAAAAAGCATCTTTGGAACTTAGATTGTAAATATATTCCTCATCAGAGTCATCAATTAAGAAGATATAGGCTTATACTCTTGTCTATTGCCAATCGATAATTATCGATAATCAATTTCTTTGTTAAAAATTTCACAGAAAAAAGAACAAAGCAATCTGGAAACTTAAATTGCAAATAAAACCATAAGAATTATGTAGGATATAAAGAGGATACACGGTTATCCCCTTGTCTGATTGTCGATACTTATCGATAACCAATTATGGTTTATCCCAAACAATCTGTTATCTGTTAGCCCATAATTGCATCCTCAAATACTTTCAATAATTGGAATTTGTTTGTAAATGACCAACTTATCTCAACAATATCCATAATGCTCCTTTTTTTTGTATTTATCATCCGTGTATTGATAAAGAAACATCGTTATCTTCTTATCGATAATTAATTCAGCAAAAAAGCACTTCAGCTGAGTCTTTTCAATTCGCCACTTGAATTCATGAATATCATGGGGGAGTAGCCAGTAGCCTTCGACTACCAAAGCCGTGTATTTCAATGCCGTCGAACAAGATTGCTATTCATAAAAATCGCCATAGAGCCGAGGAGTTTTCGGGCTCTTTTATTCATATCGATAATTGTTTGAACAATTTCGGTGAATACCAAAAATGAATTCATCGATTGCCTGCGGGCTTTCCCTTTTTCCCATTTTCCTTTGCTTTTTTTCGCTTCATTTGCTTTTCGGGTGTCCTGCTTGCGGAGGGAGAAAGGACGAAAGGAGGCGGGCCCGAGAGGAGCCCACAGGACCCGCATAACCTTTCGCCTCTGGGGACTTTAGATATATGTATATTTTTTCATTTTTTTTTTCATATTTTTTTTGGGTTGGACTGGGGTCGGTGAGTATTTCACATTTGCTGATTTTTGACGCGTCCATTTACTGTTGATTGATTTTGTTTGTATGTGCACCCGGTGGATGTGGGTGTGGGTGTGGGTGTGAGTGTGTACCATATATATACATACATACACACCAGTATGTGTGTGATGGCTGCATCTACTTAAAAATACATTTATTTTTGCGGCTTACATTATAAGCGGAGAGACATAAAATTCGTTCAAATATTTATACAGTTTGCATAGTTAATTCGCTCGAGTCCATCAAAAATCCGTGTGTCCAGCCAGGGGCTTAGGGGTAATGCTCATCATGAAAGGGGGATCGGGTTCTTTGCGATTTAATATGTAAATTAGGTGGGAAAAAGATAGGATTGTTGCCAAGGGCTCTCTCTTTAAAGGGTTTTCGTAGTGATTTAATGTTTGTTGGACAACTCACACCCCTCTGATTAGTCAGCCCAATTGAATAATATATATAATTTCGTTTTTTTTTTTTTTTTCTTGAAAAGGCCAACCCCCTACTGCCAACGCCCCTGCCTCGCAATTGTGTGTGTCTAGCCTTGTCCTGTCTCATCAATGTCAAAGCAATGAACCCGAATATCCATATTGCCAACGCTTCGCTTATTCAATTTCCCCGTCTGTCTAACAAACACGGGTCCAACTGCCCCTGCCTCCTGCCTCCTGCCACTTGCCTCCTGCCTCCTGTCTTCGTGGCTAATACCCTTTTCAAAAGCTTGGCGGCTCACTGAGCCTGGGAGTGGAGTGGGTCGGGGCTTAGGGTATTAGCAGCTTCGACTTGACGCATAGGAAAACATTGTTAATGTGTCTATATAAGCATATATATAAGAAAAGACACTACAGGATAGAAGAATAGTACTCTTGGGTTGGTTGAGGTCTTACAGAGAGTAGTTCTTATGAAACTTTCAAAGGGATATCTAAAGAAAAAGTATCTTTAAATATAATACTTTAAGATAAGTAGTCTTTTAGCTTCTATCTTGGTACTTAATTCAATAAATTTTTCAAGCTCAAGTTAGAAAGTATAGATATTACCTAACATTCTTATAGATAGTATCTCAAGTAGCTCTCAGTATTTTCCACCTTAAAAACCCTTTATAAGAAACACCTCTATACCATTCTGATGCCCCTGGCTGTACCCTCGCATATGTTAAGTATATAGCCACTCAATTAGAAGGGAAAATGTGGAAAATGGTTGAATCGTTTATGACTCAGCACTGGCGACCCCCCGCCCCGTTTCGGCCATTAAAAATGCCAAGGCATGTGTAATTGTTTTACACACAAGAGATGCCCAAGATATCGTGCATGT